ACTAATAATTATAATGATGAAATCAACATTTGATTTACTTTTTGAAAAAAAAAGAAGAAAATATTATTTTCTTTTAACTTATTCAAACAATTTTGTAGAAAAACCAAAAAAAGGAAAGGGAATGTAACATGATTTTCGCCCTATTTCCTATCATTGATAATATATCAATACTACAAAATCCTTGTATATATGATGCACGTGATTAAAATTAGACCTTTATATTTAAGTTGAAGGAATAATTTTGTGCATATATGTGGAAAATGTATGATTTTCGATTGATTGATCCTGTTGTTGGGGGTTTTTTTGTTTTGTTTTTTTTAAAAAAAGGAACAAAACCAACTTTGGTAATATGAGTTATTTATTTGTATTTAAAAGAAAATTGATGAGGGGATACATTTGAAAAGAACATAAGTGCAAATAGTCAGTCACATATATGCATTAGTTTAAGTTGCTATACTTCATTAGTACAAGATGAATACTAATTTCATAGAAACAGTTACTTCAGTAGTAGTAATATATAAAAATAAAGATTGCATATAACGATATGATACAAAGAAGAAAAGCATAAAATAACTTTAATCTCATAGTTTAAGGGAAGACAGAGAGTGTATATATCAACGCCATTGTGATCGATTCTGAGCCATGTCACTCAGAGTTTCCAACCACTGGTTACCGATAGTTGCGCGGATCCCAACCATGTAGTTTGCATCTACCAATATTGCTCAGACTAAAAGTTAGTGACTTTTTGAACTGATGTTACGTTTTGGCTTAGCCTCTAGCAAATAAGTCTTCCATGATAGATGTTTACTTATTGCTTTTTAGATGTCTTGTTTTTTTGTGTTAAAATAATCATATTCAAACCTAGAGTGTAAGAGTGAGTGAGTGAGTAAACTGTTTGTAAAAAATTAAACTTTGTTCATTTTACTTATGCATATTTAGGGATATGGTATACGTGTCTGTAAAATGGCAGCCCATTCATTTTGCAATGTTTGTTGATATACAGAATTAGCTTAGTACACTAATATATGTTTGTTGTATTATAAATTAACTCATACCATCATTTTAAATTATTTCGTATGCCAATTTTATATACAAAGATTTCTGCTACCTTATATAAATATTTTCAAATCATTCTAGTAGGGTTTCGTCTTTTGAGCTTGATGGTTTAATCGTAAATTTTTCATTGTTCTTCTGATCACTATCATACACGCAAACTTTAGGCAAAAATAAGGTATTCGAATTTCTTCACATATGACTAACAGCTTATCTTGTCAACAATATATCAGTCAGCAATAAGCAGTCAAGCTCAAGGTCGACAGAACAAACTGTCAGCCATATGTAAAGACATTCTAATATCTTACTCTTTCCTAAAGTTTGTGCATATGATGTTAATTAAAAGAATAATCAAATCTTCACTATTATACTCATCCATCTCAGAGAACAAATCTCCACAAAAATCATTCATCTAAACTACCAATCTTCTCTACTATTTTCAAATTATTCAACGCTATACAAAACTTAACTTGAACAAATGGTATTAATCATTTCACTAGTATAAAATATTCTCTGTTCAATAACGAATATAACGTTTAATTAATTTTTTTTCTTTTGAATACAATGAATTATTTGTTTCATGTTCATTTTCTCCTGTTTTTTATTCGAATTCATAAGAGACACTAATTGGATAAATTTTTTTTGTTCATCGTGGAGTTCATGAACAGAAAAATACAAAGTTCTGTATAAAATTTCGAAACATCCAAACTTAGTTCCCATAAAAAGATAAACTCAACGAAAGTACACTGTAATTATAATATTCAATGTCTCCTAAAATATCCTCGTGAAAGTAAAATCAATTTTCAGTCATCATGTGATAGAAATGGGTAATTTCTTGAATAAGCATTTTTTGGGGTTAGAGTAATGATGAATGAATCTTTTATGGGGTGGCATTGATGAATATTTATGAAGTTAGTTTTTTCACATTTCAAATGTTAAGAAACTGCAAGTTACCTTGCATAATTCGTTAATTATGTTAAAATATTATATATATTTAGTTCCATTTGTTTCCCATGATTTTTTTCTTCAAAAACTAACCATACCCACTATCTCCATCATCATCACTTGGAGAGTTTCTCAACTTCGTTCATATTCTGTAGTCTTACATATTTTAGCGTCTTAACAACTAAATGTTGGTGGGTCTTGTTTATTTTTATGTGGACGTCAGTAGGGCAGGTGCTATTCGCCATTGCATTTTGAATTTTGGGCAAAAATCCAAAACTCACTATCTTTTATCTAGTTAATTCGTTAGTGTTTTTACTAGAAACTGCTAAATGAAAAGTTGACCTGATTCCCTAGCCTCTTCTAATCACCTCAGACTAAATATACACGAATACAGTAACATAAAATTAAAGGCGCAAATGGCGAAAAGAATGCTTTACTCCTAGTTTTGTTTATGTACGAAAAAATGACGGTATTCATAAAGTTGAATACAACCTTTGGCTTTTGGAAATTTTTGCGAGGATACTAAATATAATTGAAGTTTAGGTAAATACCCAATCCCGTTTAAAATGATGTTTGAATCTACAGCTCAATAGACAGAAATCGAGTGTACATCACTTCTCCATTAACTTCAGTAATAGTGTCGAAACATATTATTTCTGTGGTATTCTCTATCACTCCTTTATATTTTCGTTTTTTAGAAATCATTTGTTTGACCTTATTTGATTATCATATAAAATGCGTTGACTAATAAATTTATGTGTGTGTGTGTGTGACCGGAATACTTGAAGTGTATATTGTGCAAAAAGTACATCCCATTTTTTTGTAATCGAATTCAACATTTTTCCTTCATATCAATTCTGAATAACTGCTTATTGTATTGAATATGTAGGTTGGTTAGATTAGTGATTGACTGCAAGAAGTGATAACACTTTTCTTAATGAAACTGATGCTCGTAATTTTGTTAATCGTTGACACATCATCTAATGTTACAGTTTGAAATATGTGACGACAGAAGTTTTTGCGCTGTTAATGACCTGCTGTTATAGAGTTTAATTGTTTTTAGGGATTGATAAGTAAATATTAACCAGTATCTTGTTTCTCTGATCCTTGGAATCGAATTCAGTCAGTCATATATGATGTAGAACCTGGCATATATATGCATCGGTTTAAGTTACTACATCATGTTAGTACGATGAGATGAAATTATCAAGACAGATTCCAAGATGGTAGACTTTGCAATAGCGGTAGTAGTCGTGTCAGTTGTAATAGAAAACTTTACGTACATAGAATAAGATTAAGAAAATAATTCTTATGATAACAGTATGAGATAATTCTGAAGCTCAAGACTTAAGAGTAAGAGAAGTTAGGTAGTCGATGAATCTTCCTCTGTGTAGATGATTCTAAACCACATTACTTTAAATCTTCAATAATTAATCCTGCTCATCCCAAGGACTCCAGTTAAGCTATTTTTGCCTACACGTTTTAGTCCAACAGTCAATCACTTTATAGAATTGTGCTACACCATTGCTTTGGTGATCCCTTGTTTTTTTCAGCTTACTCTTATACCAGACATAATCCATGTCCCGAATTACATTTGATGCAGGCAACAGAACTTCTAACGCGTTATCAACTTAGCTATTATTTCTAAGTACCCATTAGCTTAAAATGTTTGTGATATAATGGCAACATCCGTTTCTCAATGTAGATAGGCCAAGAGAGACTGAATAATTTCTGACCTTTACACCAACAACGGGAAGATCATGAACCGACCGATCTTAGGTGACCATTGAAAACCTAATATGTTTTTATTGATTTGTTTTCTGTTTTTATGTTGTATATATTTGTGGCAATGTAAAAATCAGAATTTGTAGACAAATTCCACCTACCTACATCATTATTATTAGTATCATCATCATAATCTCATTGATTTGTGTATATTTCTGTGTATGTATGAGTGTTTATGTTATCACATATATCGTTGAGTAAACTAATGTCTCTTGATTCTTCCATTTTTAAATATTAAATATTGAAGATAGTTTTTTGTGCAGAAAATAAAACTATTCAACGTACTAATGGTTATATCAGTTTTTTTAATGGTGTTTGTGTCGTCTTGTTGATACTGTGGACTGAACTTTGATCAGTCTTTGTTGGCATGTATACCCACTGTGCCGATTGTCCCAATGTAGCCACATTGTCACAAGATTGTTTAGAATAGATGAATTGTGGCTAGTAGTGGGTTCAGAAATAAGCGTTTCGTCCTATTTGGATGTATCTGCATCCCAGTATTGAGTGTTTAAAATGAGTCTGTGCTATGAATATCAACACTAGGATCCACCTAAATCTAGTTGTAGCGAGCCTAAAAATGGGGCGAAACATACATTATGGATTCTCCTCTTAGTCATAATCCATCTGTTCTATTCAATTACGTTAGTTTGTTCGAGGTATTATATTATTTGTACTGGTTGATTTAGTAGTGCAGCATTTATTGTTTTTCTTGACATCATCAGTACATATTTAGAAAAGGATTAAGCGATTAGAATTCTTTTACCACAATCGACCAACAACTTGTTCTATGAATATGGAATTTAATTAACTGATTGTGGTTGAAACGATGTAAAGCAGAATATCCTACCAATTACCTACAACTATCTAACATTTCTCTTTTTCTTTATAGAGTCATGTGATCTGTTGTCCATTTAGTGTTTTTTTTTAAAGGTTGACCTAAATCTAGTATTTTACACTTCAGTTTATTCAATGTATAAAAGTGAATTCTTCTCTATTTCATGTTACTCTTCAAAAATTTATTTCATACTAGACAACTCAGTTCTTCAACTTTGTTCTCATTTTATGTTAAATTGTTGACAATAGAAAGTGTTTATTTTCTCTTATTATAAAAGTTTAAAAATATGTATGTCTCTAAATTGGTTAACGAAACAATCACTATTCAACTATTTTCCTCATTTCTTTTCTTTCCTTTTTCTTACACATACACTCTATAACAGATTTCTAATTGAAAATGGTGCAAGTCTCTCCATTTTAAGTGTAGATCTAGAATTACCAATCGATGTAGCACAAGATGAAGAAATGATTAATCTACTTACAGATTCAATGAAAAAGCAAAATATCGACGGTGATGCTATTAAACATTCAGAAGAACAAATGCTTTTACATGATGCACAACATTGGTTATCCAGTGGTCAATATAAGTAAGTTTTTTTTCTCATTTAATCTATTCATAATGATGTGATATTTTGTTTTCATTAGTTCTAAAGCTTGAAGGAAAACTCTGTTTTCGATCACATTAATACTACCATTGTGGTATATGCTACTTATATCGACAGGTATGAGTAGTATATGACATCAATCAAAAGTGGAATGCCTAGCAGCAGAAGGTTAGGGACGTCGAACGGAAGAGAATGACAATGAAAGGACGATGAAGTTTGAGACAATTGATGAAGGATTCGCAAATGCACTATTTACTGCATGGTTTTCACAATTGACGAAAGAACTCTAATTTTGTATTAAAATACAATTGGTTATCTTAACCTGTTTTTGTAGTAGTAGTAGTAGTAGTACTACTACTACTACTACTACACAATCTCACATTTCTAGTAACAATGGGATTAGATGTGGGCATGATGTAGGCTCATGTTGTGATGCATTGTTGTCTTGATACATAGTATGACGTCTTCGCCCAATCCTCATCTATTCTAGGTCATATGTTATCTGTCACTGATTAACTGGATATCGAGTAAATATATTTTACTCTATACTCGTATGCAACAAAGTTTACTTATATTTTATGTATGCTTAAAATTAATATTTTTTATTGTTACTTTAAAGTAATTGACTGACTAACTTATACATCTTTTTAACGTTATAGACCAGTTATTGATCCTAGAACTGGTGCCACTCCCTTACATGTCGCAGCTTGTAAAGATTATACTAAAGCAATGGAAATTCTTTTACAAATTCCCGGTTTAGATATAAATGCTAAAGATTTCGATGGATGGACTGCATTACATGCAGCAGCACATTGGAATCGTGAAACATCTGCTCGAATGTTAGCTAACGCTGGTGCTAGTTTCGATGAGCATACACGTGCCGTAAGTCCTCCTTTGTGTGTGTATTTCTTTTCCTATTGAACACTTACATGTCAGTTCGTTTAATAATGATGTGAACTGGGGTTTATTAATACGTAGGCAACACATCCACTATGAGCAGACAGTGAGTAGGGATTTTCTGGCAGTGGCTATAAACCCAGGGCCATGTGAGAACATTTCTAAGGGGGAGAAAACTCTCCATACCCTCGGACGTATCATGGCATTTAGGGGCCAATATATCAACATTATTCAAATTCTGTAACTAACAACCCTAGTGTCTCAACTTGTGTATTTATTCATTTAAGTACATAAAAATCCTAATAGAATAGAGAAACACCAAGAAAACATGCTACACAAATGAATGGATAATATTGTGGAGAAAAAAAGCAGTAAAAGGTAGTGTAGTAAAGAAACTAATTGAACAAGAATAGTATTCGATAGGAGCTACATTTCAATTAGGAATATAGCCGATAAAGATTTCATTTTTTAAAAGATTTCTTTTCTCGTGTACGAAGATTGTAATCGAAAACTATACCAAAATAACCACTGGTTTTTAGTCTAACTCATATCTAATAACGTCTCAAACCACTGTGTTGTATGATCAACTATCTATCATATCACAACACTATATTATAAACTGATCACTTCTCCGTTTTATCCATACTAATGTCAGTGTCAATAAATAGTGCACGGTGCGGAGGCCACTAAGATTACATTTATTGAGTCAGTCTTTCATTAGTGACACCAATTAAGTTTTCGTTACTCTACACAAAGCACAGTCCTAAACCTCCGCATTCATAATATTGTGTTACCAACTAAATATAAAAATTCTTTCAGAGACAGCGATAATCAAACAAGGATAGTGATGGTATATTAACATATTATCTAAGTTAGATTTCACAATCATCAAGCAGAAGTAGACTTACTGACATATGTTAAACCTAATCATTTACAATTAGACTAACATCATCTAGATATTAGAGATGAATAGCCTAGATTAACTTTCAGTATACATAAATTAACCATATCTAACATATAGTACAAGGAGGCACCAAGTAGATATGCGCCACACAAATCATTCGATTTGTGTGAGGGCTGTGATACTGCCCGGGTGCCCAAACCGAAGCAGGTGTTTTTCTTAGGGGGCCATACCCCGAGCATTTGACCCAAAGGTCTGACCCACAAGGCAGTGGAGCATTGTAAGAAGATGCAGTCCCATGGTAGCCGGTGACCAATGATTGGTTCATACGCCATTTGTTCCATCAGGATATTGGGGCCCATGTGCACCATTAGTTTGGGATCCGGTTAAAGTGTCGTACATTCGCTTTTCATCCTCTCATTTTCGTAAACAACACTAAAATTCCTTAATGGTTTGTCCCATAATAATTCACATATCAACAATATACAAAAAAAGATAGAAAGATAATATAAAATTCACACAATATGTTTTAACTAGAATAATTTGTAATAAGAATTATATCTAAATTTCTAATTAGAATATTTCAATGAATGAATATCTTTTTATTTCATAATATATACGTCACAAATTTTTTTGTTGCTTTAAAAGTGTTCTCTTTTCTTTTCTTTTTCTTATCTTTTAACGTTATACACAATTGATACAATTACTAAGGGGTTAATTAAATTTGTCTTTCATAGTTAGTGTATTATTATTATTATTATTATTATTATTATTATTATTATTATTATTATTATAATCCACTCAAGGGTACTAATAAATTTATGATGTACAATGATAGTAAATGTTTCAACACTTATTACTATACCACATGTAGGCAGTATTTATGTGTGATGATGATAATGATAATGATGACTGAATAACTTAATTCTATAGAAAAATTCACTAAAATTTGTATTATACCTGAATAATCGTTAACTACATTTATATTCATTAGTAATTGACAATTGACATGGTTATGATTGTTTTAATTTGAACGATTTTATATTGACAAATCTACATGTTTGAACTTTGTTTCATCCGGTTATTTATTTATTTGAACACATAAATACTGGTACAAAGAGGCATCGAATAAATATGCACCACACAAGTCACTTGATTTGTGTATAAGCTGTGATACTGCCCGGGTGCCCAGGCCAAAGCAAGTGGTTTTCTTAAGGGGCCACACCCCGAGCGTTCGACATAAAGGACTGACCCACAAGACAGTGGGGCAACGTCAGGAGATGAACTACCATGGTAAACGGTGACCAACAATAGGTTCATACGCCGTTTGTTCCCTCAAGACCCCACGTGAACCATTAGTTTGGAGTTAGGGTTTTCCAACTCCCCTGGATGAATACTTCATATCCACCAATCAGGTTAAAGCACCGGAAATTCGTTTTTCGTCCTCTCAATTTCGTAAACAACGGTAATGCCGCGAGGAGGTAGTGAGTAGGACTTCCCTGTCAGTGGTTTTATGCATATGGCCATGTTAAAGCATATATATATATATATATATTCTTGAATTGGTTTAGAAATAAATTGTATCAATGTTGATGGTTTTGTAGGTGCTCGTGTTTAATCCCTGATCACAAGCGATAATTCCTTGTAGTTAGTTACAAATAGTTTTAATAATGTGAGCATCTGTTTGTCGAATAGACTTTTCCAACCTATCGGGACGATTCCCAGAAAGCGCAGCGAAGTCTCCAGAGGCTATGGAGGAGCTGAAAATATCCGATCCATTCAGATTCCAGCAGAACTTTTTAGAATACCAATGTAGCATTCTATGCTTGGACAATTGTATTACCTCCTACGTAGAGATCGGCTGGATTAAAATAATGTCATAGTTTATAATGAAAACTATAATACCTCATTTTTCTGTACATTTCCGACATTCAATAACCGCATCTCCTGCTTTCTTCCGTCTTTTGATTCGCGACTGTGGGTTTCTTCGCGTTTGACTTTCATTAGCCATATACCGTATTAGTCGTAATCAAGTCGAAGATATAACATAACCCCTGTCTATTTTATGTTTAATGCAATGGCTATAAATACGAGTTTCCCTTTGAGGATATTTTATTACAGTATAGTCGACAGTATAATGTTTTGTCATATTACTTTTCGATTCACCTTTTTCATTTGCTTGAATTTCAATAAATAAAGGTTTCTAATCCCAATATGTAGCTTGAATAGTTTTACTACGAATATCGTGTCCAGCTAACAGTTGCAATTGAGCTCTAGTCTTCTCAAGTAGTCTGTACATGGTCAAATACTTGCACTTTCTTATTTTGCATCATTATAAAATATTTCACGTTGATGACTATAAGTCACTAACTATAAATTAGATTGTCTATTTGCTTACACACGCTAATCCTTCAGAGATAGCATAAGAAATATCGATTAATAGTACTGAACTATCTCTGTGCAGCTTTTTGTCATAAGGTAATGGACATAAATAATTATAAATTGTAAAGCTACTATTTTAATCAGCAAATGTTGTATATCGCTGGAGCAGTGGTTCAGTTGTGTTTAAACTATTCGAATTGCAGCCATCAATTCACAGGCTTGAACCATGCTCCGACTCGATAACTATGTAGTAGCCATAAGCCTAAACATTTATAGAGTGTAACTCGGAGCCAGTTACACGGATTTGTCTATATCTGGTAAATGATTTGAAAAGGAGCTTAGAAATTATTTTCGTCTTCCTTTAGGTCTTAATATTTTAACACACACTGTCTGTTAAACTTTAAGCTGCCGGGTTTAAAAAAATATATTGCTGCTAGTACTAATTCCTTGTATTATATTCATGTCATTGGAATAATTTCACACAATAACTAGCCATTCTATTTACGGTTGATTATGGAGACCAATTCACTTATTTTAATCAAATATTGATTCATATATTACGTTACCAATTGCTCAATAAACAAACTTATTTTCATTTTCCTCTCATTTCTATTCTCTTTTCTCAGAGTCAATCTGTATTCGATGTAGCTGATAAAGAAATGATTGTGTTGCTTAGACAACTTCGTGAAAGACAAAGAGCTGTAAGTAGTTTCTGTGTGTCATCGTTTTTTCTACCGAGTTTGGTTCTCAATGTATGAACATTAAAAATAGTGGAATACGTGTACATTCAGGTAAAAATTCTCTAACTGGGATGAAACGCGCGTCATGGATCTTACTACCACCCACATATTGAATATATCGAAAATTCTAACTGATAACCTATTTAATGTCAGGCCTTGGGAATAAAATCCAGGACATCCATCTCTCTTTCGAGACTGTTCAGCTAGGTATCTCCTCTACTTGTGTCTTCAGTGTTGTTATTGTTCACATTGATACTTGAAGTCAGTATCTTTCACTTTAAATGCTTAATGTGTTGTCCACTAAGCTACTGAATCCACATAATCTTTTACCTACTTGTTCTCAACCGTTATATAAATAATACTAAAGGTCTGTGATTTCCCATTATTGATATTCTGAACTCATAGCTCTTCTATCCCATATTCAGTAATAAATGTAGGTGAAGTCAGCCATTGTAGCAGTAAGCCTCAACATACTCAAGGGTAAAATCAAGATCCTAAAATACAACACAGCGAGTCCCGACCAAATCACACTTGTTAAGAAAGCTGTAGAGGAGGTTGAGACTCACATACCACCTGGGTAGCATCGCTCATAAATAAGGGGGCTCTAATGCAAATATGAGGGCATGGATTGGCAAAGCAAGGGCGGAATTCCTACAATCGTGGTACATGTGAAAGTAAAAACAACCGTTACTCAAACTAACGTCATTATTTTCAGCGAAAACGTCAGGAGAGTTTATTACACGGAGCTGATACCTTCAGGAACTACAGTCGTCATCAAAGAGGTACAGGCATGTATAAACAGTTGTTTACTTAAGATACTCAATGTCTGTTAGCCGGATAGCATCAGCAACAGCCCACTGCGGCAGAAAACAAACCAACTTTCAGATGAAATGGAAATTACGAAAAGACATTGGAAGTGGATAAGAAATACATTACAGAAATCACGAAACTTCATCATGACGCAAGCTCTTACTTGGAATCCTGAAAGGAAACGTAGAAGTGGAAGGCCGAAGAACACACTACGTCCAGAATTGGAAGCAGACATGAAAAGGTTGAATAGCAATTGAAAAAAACTTGAAAGATTTACCCAGGACACGGTCGGATGGAGAATGCTGATGGGTGGCCTATGCTCTTCTACTATGGCTAACAGGCATAAGTTATTGAGTAAGATATTAATGACTGCAGTCAATCAGTTCCTATTGTTATTATTATTGTTTATTGTTCTTCTTAAATTATAAGTTAATGTATTTAATATTTATAGGAAAGATTATCCAGTGCATCTAAACTACCAGAATCATCGAAAATAACAGAAGCAGTTAAACGAAGGTAAATAAATTATTTTAAATCTATTTATCTTTAATTATTCATTAAATTCACAAATAATAGTTTATATTTTTCTTACTTTGATCTTATAGGGTATTTTTGTTATCATATACTACTCTTTTTTTCTCTCGCTTCTTTTGTTTTACTCTATAAAATGTATAATCAAACTGTGCATATAATTTTAAATATTTCTTAAGATTCTTTGTACGACGATGACGACAACAACAACTGCTGCTACTACTTATTTATTTATTTCGACACATAAATATTGGTACAAGGAGGCACCGAATACACATACGCCACATAAATCATTCGATTCGTGTGAGAGCTGGGATACTACCCGTGTGCTCAAACTGAAGGGGGGCAACATATTGAGCCTTCAGCATAAGGTCTGATCCACAAGGCGATGGAGCAATGTAAGGTTACAAACTACACATGATAGCTGGTAACCAATGACATAAAAAATATTTGACACGACATTACAGAACATCTCAAGAAAATCTGAGAACCATATAGTAAATAGTTAATTTGCAAAATATCAATTCATCTTAAAAATCACTGTTCCTTTTGCAAATATCAGTCCATTGTCTCAGACTTCATTTGTTCTTGCATTTTCATACCAAATTCGTTCCGTTTCCGTCCTTACCTTATCGATCTTCTGTTGAAATTCCCTTTCAACGTTATTCATTTGTGTACGTACATATGATAAATTTAATCGAAGTTTAACAAATAAACACTTATTCATTGAGCTATACCACTGTAGTTTATACTACTTATGTCGATAGATATAAGTAGCATGTAACACCAATTAGAAGCGGATTGCCTGGCATCAGAATGTTGAGAAGATTGAGTTGAAGAGAACAGGAATATAAAGGGAGAGTAATTGTAATAGTATTAGGAATAAAGGATCAATAAAGTTCTTAAGAGGCAATTAATAGAGGATATGCAAGTGAAGTGTTTAATATATGATATTAAACAGTAAATTGATCTTCCAATACTTGAGTATCTGTTAGCTGAACCAAATGTACATATAAGATTGTACAGTTTTGAAGATACAGTCCGTTGTCAATGTTTCTTTCGCTAATTAAATAGTTTCATAACATTTAGAAATAATGATACATTTTCTCATACTTTATGATGACAATCAACTAAACTAATCAATAATCTATAACTTATGTACGTGTGTATCTGTACTTGTCTGAAATCGGTTTCTGTTTTTCATGTATAGATGATCATTAATCACTAAGTGTTCATACTGAGAGAAAAATCACTTAGGTGTCATCATAATCAGGCAATACGTATTGATTTTAATGAAGTATATATATATTACAATTAAAGTAATTAGTATGATATGACAAATATTTCTCAAATATTGTGAATGTTGTTCACTAAATTGATTGTATAAATAATAGACAAAAGTCCTCTGGTTCGATTCTCACATGTGGCATCGTGAATGCTCATTGCTAATGAATCCCATACTTAGAAGAATCGGCCATCCAGTTTATCCAGGTCTTCAATGGTTATCTAACATCGATCGACTCATGATTTCATTGGGAACTCAACAATCTCCACAATCCTATCCTAAAAAATAATAAACAATTTTGTTAACATGTATTGAAAAAAACAAATAACTAATTATCAGAATGAGTTTTGTGGAGAGTTTTAAGAAATTTCACAGGTTGAAATCATGAGTCAGTTGAAGCTAGACCACCACTGAAAACCTGGCGCAACTTCATGGATTGGTTGAAGTTAGACATTAACACCGTTGGATGCCGGCTCAGTGGTCTAATGGTTAGGCGCTCGCGCGCGAAGCCAGTAGGTCCTGGGTTCGAATCCCGTGGGGGGCGGGTTCGTGGATGCGCACTGCTGGGGAGTCCCATACTAGGACGGAACGGCCGTCCAGTGCTTCCTGGTTTTCAATGGTGGTCTAGCTTCAATTGACTCACGATTTCAACCTGTGAAATAACTAATTATACAGCATCAATTGTGTTATTTGATGATGACATATTTATGTGTTGAATCAGGAAAATATTCAATAACTATGATCAGTGTTTCGGGATCTTGAGTGACTTAACTCAGAATCGATGACTTTGATACAGATTTATTTACTTTTTCTTACTCCTCATGTACTTAATCTCCAATATTCCATCATATACAACCTTTTATTTAGTCTTTTTTTAAACAATAGTTATTTCTAATGTTCACTTATTCTAATTATCATTGCTACTATCGTTATTTTGATTATTTTGGTATTCATCGTGTTCATTTAATCCTGTCTTACTAATTGTTTGAGAAACTGAGTTTATATATATATATATATATATATATATATATATATATATATATATATATATATATATATATATATATATATAGCTTGCTCTACTTGGATCATAACTGGCTGATTGGTAACAAATTATATCGATCGTAATTATCACATTATTAATTCAAAACTAAAGAGTAGAGACATGTTGAAAAAGATACATTTTCTCTTGTACTAGTTAATTACTTTAATAATAATCTAGTGTATCATTTTAAGTTTAATTTTAAAAGAATGGTAATTGTTCACCTTTTCATCAGGAAAAAATTATTGTAAATTCTTGAGTGTAACAATTTATCTTAATAATGGTGTGCTTTTTTTTCTTTGCAATTTTTTTCTCTCGTGGAACAAAAGTACATGAACTGACTTTTACTCACGTCTTAATTATTTCTTGTTTTAATATTTTAAAAAAAAAGACACTTTATAGGTATCAATGTCAAGGTTGGATTTGATAGTTTCAAATAAATTGAGCACTACTGAGTAGAGGATTAAGAATAATTGTATTTCTAATGTTAATTTTAATCGATTATTTGTTTGCTCTGAAGATGTAGTTTATATTAAGTTACGAAATTTCGAAAATACCATTTTTTACGCATTGGTATATAACAAAAATATATTTATTATTAGGAAATACTGATATTAACTTGATTTCTTTCCATCTCATCATATATTTGTTTATGCCTAGTAAAATATATCATACATATAATGAATATGCTATCGTGAATAATAAATGAAAATTTTGAACACAAATTCATACACTTACACACAATGGTGGTCGTTATAATGACCCAAATGCCATGGTATGGCCGAAAGTGGGGAGAGTCAACTCTCCCTCTCGAAATCCTCTCACATGGCCACGCGTATATAGCGTCTGTCACGGAAGTCTTACTCACTGCCTTCTCGTGTCGGGGGTGTTGTTTACAAAATTGAAAGGATGGAAAGCGAATGTACGGTACTTTAACCGGGTTGGTGGACACGGAGAGTCTACCTAGGGGAGTTGGAAAACCCTGATTCTAAACCAATGGTGCACATGGGCTCCAGTATCCTGAGGAAACAAATGGCGTATGAACTAACTGTTCGTCACCGGGTATCATCAGACTTCATCTCCTTACGATGCTCCACTACCTTGCGGATCAGACCTTTAGGTCGAAGGCTAGAAGTGTGCCCCCCCTAAGTAAACCACGTGCTTCGGTTCGTGCACCCGGGTATTATCACAGCCCTCACACAAATCTCATTTGATTTGTGTGGCGCATATATATCTGGTGCCCCCCTTGTACTAGTGTTTATGTGTTCAAATCAATAAATAAATCCGTTATTCAGAAGAATAATCATTACTTCACAGCTGAGCCATCCAACTCCGAGACCACAATCTTCACAGCCAACATCATCTTACGATTTTAACACTAATAAGTGATAATAGAGTTTAATACATACCTTACTTTACTATCATTGTTGTACCCCAAACAATCTCTCTCTTATTTTTCCTATCGTTCATTTTTCTTTCTTTCCACACACACATTCTCTCTCTCTCTCTCTCTCTCTATATATATATATATATATATATATATATATGAAAGGCAACAACGTACCTTTTACCCATCTGATGATTTTTGTTCACTTTTCTACTGTCTACTAATATTAAACTTGTCTCAAGCAAATTGTCTATTTGTTTGTACTGAGTAAAAGATAACTTCGCAATTTTACAATAGTGATAATAATAGTAGCATCAATACATTGTGATTATTATTGTTATCATTAATCTTATTATTTGCCTAAACTTTGTAACTTATATATCTAGTTTTAATTAAAAATTTGTTTACTGTGTGTTATATTTTGTAATTTTCTAGTTAGTGATTATTTTGCATTCCCGATTTAAATATTTGTGAACAGTCGATATGTATTTCAAATTAACCTATATACGGTAAGAAAGTCAACTATAATAACAACGTGTATATAAATAACTACGCGGATTAACACTGGTCATTCTCTAGTATTCTTATATACATGTCGAAGTACATTTTTCAAATGAAGAAATACCTGACAAATTTCAACTTATCGGTACATAAAAAAACGGCGATCATCACTAGTGGGATATTGATATCTTCCCCTTTACTGTTTGTCACGATCTATAACCGTTTTTTTATAAAATCTTTTTAAGCTATTATATACTGTATAGTGAGTGGAGTTTAACAAAACATTCATAAGGTATCTCACAAGCATTACATATATATACATATATTCATTTCTTATATGTTCTAATATCAAATTAGTTGATCGATGATAAATGTTTCATCCTACGATTCTTACTTTTCTATATGAAGAAAATTAAGGGTCACTAAACTATGTTGTAACATCTGCCCATAGAATTATTGAATATTAGACTGAATTATATTAACCGGTTTGTATTACCTCGTTTGGGGTCCACGCGATAACCATGATAAATGGTTGGAAACTTTTGTGGTATCACAGCTTAAAATCTTTCATAATAGCGTAGATACATCCAGTCTATAGCCTCCTCTATATCTTGAGCACAAATATTACTTTATACATACCCTTCCATTCCATCTTTTTGAACTGTATTCACATTATTCATTATTTTGCATTTTCGTTGCCATTATTTCAATCAATTTACTATTCATTTTATTCAATTGTTCTCATCTTACTAATATTTTATGACAATTTAGCCCAACTCACATGTTCTACGGACTGTAATTTGATCATCTCTGACTAAGTTAACTTCACCTGATATTTTGTTTAATTTGCTTAATTAACATCATTCTACTGCTGCTAATCTCCTACAAGATTGTTGTTTGCTTACTCACCTTTCTCAATCACGGTTAATATTATTTTTGTTCTTTAATAAATTTTTATTTAGTCATCCGGTTGAATTAGAGACTGATGAAAATGTTAACACAGATAATGATGACGACGATGATGATAATTCTCTTATTGAAATTGATCAGTCTAATTGTGTAAATAAAAAGCCAACTATTGAACAAGATATTTATTCATCGTTAAATGATACTCCATCATTTTTGACAAATGGAAAATTAATCAAGAAAACTGTTAGCAATGAAGATATGGTATTGAACACTACTACTAACACTACCGCTTCTCCATCTACGTTATTATCTGTACAAGGACAAACAGAGATACTGCAATCCGCCACTATTACTACTAATTTTAATCAATCAACTGATCAACAATCATTTATAACATCTTCTGTCCACGAGGAACGAACTTTACCGTCATCAGGTAGTTGACACATTACTTTATCTTTCGTATGTGATAGTTAGTTGTTTATAGAGGAGGAGAGTAGCAACCATTGGAAATATTTACAAAATATATTTTATCTATTATTAGTGTTAAGTAATCATCAGGACGTGTAGAAGTGTAGAATTACTGATTACTTTGTAATATTTAATTTTGTACTTGACCAGTTTTGCCGTTATCCCACAAGATATCCCATCTCGTAGTTAAATGTAGTGTGTATAAATGATAAATGGTTGAATGACACACATATATGTAATATACAGTTAGTTGGCTGTAGTCGTTCTATCTTCTCCGAAAAATCGATTTGTTTAGGGTTTCACCCTAACTATTTCGGTTAAGTCACTTATAATCATTGATCGATAATCAGTGGTAAAACGGGGTTTAGAATCTACAGTTATATACTGTTAGACAAAAATAATGATATTGTGTTTAGAGATATAGTTTAGCTAGAAAGTAAATATTTCAGGCCTCTACCCTTGTCAACTTATTCAAACCACGAACCGATCTCAGTCAGTCAACTATTGAAAACTTCGAAGCACCGGATGGCCATCGTGTTCTAGTATGTAACTCCTTAACATTGTGCACTCACGATCTGTAACCGGCGGTCCAACCCAATATCTTCGGTCTCACGTGCGAAAGCTTAAACTCTAAATTACAGTTTGAATCCAATTGTATGCTGCGCCACTGCTAAGGAGTCCCGTACTAGGACGAAGCGGTCGTCCAATGCGTTTAGGTCTCCTGTGGTTATTTAACTGAGATCTGTTCATGATTTCAATAAGATTCAACAATACCCACAACAGATATCTCCAATCGTAACAATTATATTATAAATCTTGGGAACTTCGCATTTCTCAGAATAACTTACTTCAACTAGTCAGTGATTTCATCGACTGATGTCATGGTTTAGTTTAACCCATGGCTAGCATTTTCTCTCGGTCTCTTAATGCACTAGCCATCTTTACATTTCATAACAGTAGTTCGTGATTGAGCATTTGTAAAACTTTGGCCTCTCCACCTGATTAGTAAATAACAGTTTTTATTTTTTTGGCGAGACTATAATTTATGGACGAACCACTAAGATTTAAGATAGCAGGTCTTGAATTTTGGCGCGATCTTTCGCTCATTTAGCTAAATAGCATTTAACATTACAGCTGATGTCATTTCGTGATGAAAATATCAAATCTAATTCCTAATCCTAACGTCCAACTGTAAATCCTAATTCTTCATACTAATTTACTATGCTCATTTAACCCTAGTATGTGAATGGAAATTTCCAAGGTCGTTTTAGCATTGCTCAAAGTTCATCCATGACTTTTTTCAGTCCATTTATCATCTTTACACAACAGCTTACCCTAACCTCGGCATAAATAGACAGTTTTACCATATATATATAAGGACTGTTTCTAAAACTTCCATTCTCAAACATCGCGGGCTTGCACATTGTCTGAACTTTAAGATAAAGTAATACAAATGCGAACTATTATACTCCATCGTTTATGAAGAAGGGATTCGGACCTAAAAGTAACTGTCTGGCACTTCATATCTCTCAAGGGTTCTCTAAGTAACACCATTTCTTGATGAAAAATCAATTTTAAATCATAGCAAATGATTTCATAGAATCATCTAACCTAATTCATATTCATATTTATCAGGAATTTGAGAAAATTAATTATTGCTGAACTTGCCATTTGAAATATCACATATATTTACATGTTACTGTTTTTTTGAAAAAAACTTTGGATCCCGATTAGACAGTGGAGATTTTCTATCGATCGATACTAATAAACCATTGGAAAAACCTGGGAAATCATTATCACCAGAGAAATCTCCTGTCGTGGTTGCTTCGACAACATCTATATCATCGGATGTGAATAATGACTATCCATCTTTTACCAGTGGTAATAATAATCGAATGGAAAAAGAAGTGTCAGATAATATTATGAAGACGACTATCCCTGTTTCTTCATACTCATCATCATCAGCAACATCCGTACAGCCAGGTAGTACACTTCGTCATTCATCACGATCTCCTCCTTTAACTATACCTACTAATAGTGTATCCGGTCCTATTTCATCGTCTACATCACATTTAGTTCCCAAATTGGTAGAATCAGAGAATACAACAGATAAAATATATGAGAGTGATGATTTACGTGAAAGTACAACGAATAAACATAAAACCGGTATTGTAAGTATTATATCAACTCCACAAAATAAACATCCTGCTGATGAGAAATCACAAACTAGTGTACATAATATTACTACTAATAAAGAATTTTCAACCTCCTCAACTGTGACAACAACAATGGCTGCCACACCTACTATTCCATCAGGAACAGGACGATCAATTACGAAAATAATCGCTGTCAAACCTAGGGTAAGAGCTAATATAAATAGAAAGTTATCTATTATGTTTTAGTATGATTTGTTAGATTATCTCTTTATCCGTGCTTCCAGTGATTTTCTCTACAAATAAGAATCATTATAGTGTGGGGAATAATCAATTTACTAACGTAACAGGATTTTTCTAGACAGTCAACGTTTAGTTAGTAAACTTAAATCTGTTTATTCGATTATGGAGAACTGTTTGATTGATTAATTCACATATCTATTAAATGTAGACTAATGTGTTAGGTTTTGAACCCCTCTACATGAGAGGGATAATAACGTTACCTAGTTACCTTCACCAGTGTAGTTGAAGAGGGGTTCGAACCTGTTGACTACTTCCAACCACCTCACGTCTAAAAATAGTCGATGGTATATATATATCCAAACAATGCCTCAATATGTCTTTGATAATTTTGTTCACCTGTATTTTATTCCTCTTTAAATTGTCTATATTTATTTCAGCGAAGTGATCCACAAAAAATGAATGTTGATGAAAAGGAAAGTGTTGTATCCGTGAATAATACACAAAGTAAATTATCCAGTCCTGTTCCTGAGCTTACAACTAATCGACGGTAAGTTAACGTATTTAATGTTTTTTTTGCAACGAAGAAATTGATCAAAGATTGTTATTAAGTTTCATTGCATGTTTCAGGTTACCTTCGTAATATTCATATCGTTTTATCTTCGGATTTTACGATACGTAGTAATTCTGAATAATCATTGCCAGGTATTTCAATAAGAAAAAGAAACGACTAAATGACATATGCTTTCTTCCCAACGAAAACAGTTTTTAAATAGATGAGTAGTGTCTATATATATACGTATAGGATTGTATAGCTTCATAATAAATTTGTTGAAAAAATATCGCGTCGCCGAAATCCGTTTTCTTTAAAATGCCTAAATGAATATTACAAGTCTATCTTGTTTTACCTAATAGGATCTATTGCGACAACTTCTGATGTTAAGTATTTGGAGGCAGTTAACTGGGAATACTTAAACCTAAGTCAAACATGGTCTCATATTAACTACCTTCATCTACCTAGCTTCTCAACGTAGTCCCTATTTAGTTTCGATCAACGCTGTAGGAGAATGCATACTATAGTTTTATGTGAACTACACTGAAATACAGTAGTGGACATATCAGGCTGTTAGAAAACATTAGGAAGGTTGGCTTATTTTTGAGTTCATATACTGGGATGAAATAGTTGTCCTGTGGTTTTAAGATTACGTTCATTCTCTCTCATTCTCGAAGAGTTCTTATACGACGGTGTTTTGATAATCCTTGCTAGGGAGTTTTTTCGCATTGCCTTAAAGCGACGAAGCTGTTGTTTGCAAAACTGGATTGTTGGCTACATAGGCCAGCCTTAAATAGTTCGAGAACTCAAAATTCCAAACTTATGGCTTCTAGGATACTGAGTGAATTATCGCTATATGAACTCGTTTTCGTCCCTTGCCACCACAGTAAGGTGACTCTTGACGTTGCTTTGCCGCCTTGAAGATTAGAGCTCTATTGCAATAACCTGTGCAGTGGCTTTCTAAGAAAAGCAAGTTCTTCGGTTTATGTGTTCAGGTTAGTATTCTAGCTCACACACAATTATTTTTGTTAGCTGAATACTATGTTTAAAGCCTAATTATACCAAGTTTCATATGAGATCAACGAATCCATAAAAATTCTTTTTCACAATGCTTCTGAGATATAATAAACCTTTTTTCTTCGTATTTTTGTATAATGTTTGTAGAAAATCAATAATCTATCGCTTATTTTGCTGTGAATCAGTAATTTGCAACTTGTATGTTAATTTACATTTTCTGAATTGTTTTTGTCGTTAGAATATCTGTTGTAATGGCGCCAACAAAGTCCGGTGAAACAGAGACACAACGTAGTGTTAAAGCTCGTTATGTCCGATCTACTCGACGATCCACTCAAGGTGTTTCATCAGAAGATGTAGAACAGGCTAAAAAGTTGGCTGATAAAAATATCAACGGTAGTACTGTTGTTTCGGATAATTCCCAACCAATGAATTCTATTCCCACTGTTGATACATCGTCGTCATCAGATAGAACAACATCAACTGATACATCGGGAGTTCCAAATAATAAATCTAATAAGTTAAGTCATACCTCTTCAGCTTGTAATCGAATATATTCAGAAAATCCTACAAATCTTTTTCGTCGACTCACCGATACTGAATTATTGAGATCTCGACCTAATTCTGAAACTGTAGCAGGTAGTGGCGATACGTTTACTGGCAGATCATCTGCGCGTACTGATTATTCAACTAACGAACGAGAAACTAATGATACTCGATCTTCAAATCATCCTTCTGTAAGTTTTTGTGTTAATAAAAAATGTTTCATACCTTTGATTTATTGTTAACCGAACTGTGTGTATCAAGTTACTGTACTATGTGATAAACTATTCTAAGTTAACTCTTACCAGGGTGTACTACTCGTTTGTTTGTTTATTTTTCAGTATTGGTTGAATACACTTAGTTAGGAAATATTCAGTCAATGTTTTGTGATAATCCAACAATATTAAATGAATTCTCTCTTATATCTATAATATTTTAATTTAAAAATATTCACCGCCTAAGATTTTTTATTATAATCAATTAACCTGTGACTCCTAGCTTGTGATGTACACAACTAAGTCGTTTAGAAATTAAAAAGTGTGGTTTTCTGTTAATTTTCAACACTATACTTCCTCCATTGAATGTCTAAATAAATAATCTTTTACAAAATCCATACAGTCAGTCATAAATAATGTAGAACTTAGCAGATATGTATATCATTTTAGGTTCTTCCACCAAATCAAAATAGCGAAGTTAAGTTAGCAAGATAATTACCAGAGTTTTGAAAGTATCATTAATAGTAGTGAAGATTAGATACAAACGATATGATTTGAGAAGAAATAATGAATTCGTGGAGTAAAGTGTGTAAACTTTTTAAAATGAAGTTAATACTGTTGTGCCATTCTGACCGATCCTGAGTCATGTCATACAGTGTCTTCAAATATTGATGATGATAACTACACGGATTTCAGCCATGTTGTCTGGACTTACCTATACGGCTTATTTCAACAATCAATGACTTGATATAGAGTGACACTGCGTTTCAATTTTACCCAAATGTCCTGGTACGGTCGAAATTGGGAAGAGTCAGCTCTACCTCTCGAAATTCTCTCATATGGCCACATGCATAAAACCACTGACAGGGAAGTCCTACTCACTGCTTCCTCGCAGCATTACCGTTGTTTACGAAATTGAGAAGACGAAAAATGAATGTCCGGTACTTTAACCTGGTTGGTGGATTTGGAGGATCCACCTAGGGGAGTTGGAAAACCCTGATTCCAAACCATTGTTGTACGTGGGCTCCAGGATCCTAAGGAAACAAATGGTGCATGAACTACCTGCTTCAGTTTGGGCACCCGTGCATTATCGCAGCTCTCGCACGAATTGAATGACTTTTGTGGCGCATATCCATTTGGTGCCCCCTTGTACCAATGTTTATATGTGCAAATAAATAAATAAAAGTAGCTGAAATAAGAAGTAACTATACGATTTCTCAATAATGATACATAGTAACTAGGTCGTTAACGTTTTAGTAATATTTGGTGCCTCCTTGTACTAACGCTTATTTGTTTAAGTAGATAACAAATAAGCTTTCTTCCAACACTTCCCTATTTTTGCGAACGTAGCCAGTAAAAGTAGGCGGTTGTTGAACATGCGTAATATGTATTATTTTACCACTTCAGTCAATGATAATTTACTACATTATCAACTAATTTGCCATCTTTTTCTTGTACTCTACATCTGATCTGTACAATGGTGACCGATAGAAATATGTTTCGTTTATTAATATCCGTAATATCAATATATTTACAACTAGTGTTTGTTAGGATTAAGCGGTCACTTTAATCCATCTACTGTGTTTAGTCAGTCAGTCAAACACAGTGTAGAACCTAGCCCATGTGCATATCAATTCAAGTTGGCATGCCAAATTAGTTCAGTGAGATGAAATTATCAGTGCAAATATCTTAGTAGTAATTTATGGAAAATCTAGCGTCTATGGATCGCTTTGTTAAACTCACAAAAAATTTCATCAAAATAGATTTTAGTCTTCAATGACCCTAATTATTTAAATGCTTTATTATTTTTTTTGTAAAGTTCATCGGTTGTCAGTTACAGTTTATCCTTTTTTTCAAATCCAGTTAGTTTAACAAACGACAGACACTTATTTTGAGTTAAATTTAAGTAAAAATGATTAGAATCCATTTGGATTGAAAATTTTTTCTCGTAAATCATTAGTTGAAATATAATTCTCCTAATAAACATTATCAAATTGATAACGATATTTCATTTTTATCTGTGTATATTCTTTATCATCACTCCCATAGTTGGTAACATAAAAACTGAACCCGAAATTTAAAAGTGACCAAATGTAAATAAAACCAGTCAAGTGTAGCGATAAATAGAACGTTCTGTTCAATAAGACTGCCACTAATGTTCACTAATAGGAACTTGTTTTCTGTATCCGTAAAGAATAAGCTTCCTCGTTTGGTCTCCTCTATGTGCGTCTACCAGTTCATCTGGTGTATATATATCCTGAATTTAATAATTTTTTTATCTGTTTCTCTTCTGCATATCCATGTCATCCATTTTTAATTCCACGCCATTTCTCATGTTTTCCCTTTTTTGGTATACTGTTACTACTTTGAATAAAATACCACCTTGTTCAGTGTTCTTATCTCTTATAATCTATCATTTTTCTTCGACAACCTTTTAAAATTCGCAGGCTTAACGAACATGACCTTCAATAAAATGTATCCAAAGAGAAATGTGTAAGAAAGATGTTAAACTGATAATCAGTAATCATTAGTGAGTACGGCAAGCAACAAGCTTTGATAGGAAATTCACATCGGTTCAGTGAGAACCTATGACCGTTGATGTTCATCCGTGTCAAGTGTGAGGTGGTTACTCACCGAAGATGATGAAAGTTGGTTGCGCAATATCGTGAACTGATCGAAGTTAGATATTAACATAATCGGATGAAGGGCCTTGGTTTAGAGGTTAAGTGTACACATGCAAACCCGAATGCTCTGGGTTCGAAGCTCTTTGATCAGAGGTCGTTGATGTCCACTGCTGTAAAGTTTCATACCAAGACATTACGACTGTCCAGTGCTTCCAGATTTTTAATGTTGGTCTAACTTCCGTTCAAAAAATTCTACGGAATACACCAATCTCTACAACCGTATACATACATAATATTATTTTTCATAGACACTATTAACATTTTCTGTCAATACCAGTGTTCCAATTTTCACTTTATAACCTTGATTGTGTTAGGTTGCGGTATACATTTATGATACTACAATACTCCTGAACTACCTGTATTATTTCCCAATACAGAATATATATATGCTTTTATGTGACCTTATGCTTCTGTACTATCATGCAAAATTATTTTATTGATCAGCATATAGTTGCATCCCTTCAATTCACAATTATTTTGACTATCCTGGCATAAGCATCAGGATAGAGATATGGACACAGATTGCATTTTGTGTTGTGTGTAGTATATAAATATATAAGATAGAAATGAACTTTGTTGTATTTTGTGAATGTTTTTTTCCTCGAAAACAATACAATATAGGTATCTTCGATTGCCTGTGTATTTTGTAAATCATACCATACTGTGCAGTATTAATAATAATAGTGTAAGGTATGTCTGGTCAATATATTAAAGTGTGTACATGTACACATTCTGTATACAGACTAGTGATATGCTTTATTAAGAAAAAATAACACTTGTAATGATCGAAATGTGTAGTTCATGCGTAATATCTGTGCATGATGGTAACAAAAGTTTCATATTAGATTAAATAACTGGATGTTTCTTTGCGATACCACGTGATAAAAGTTTTAGAAATCTTAGATATCAAAACACATAATTATTCAATGGAATTCAATGATATTTCTTTTCTTCAAAGCATCACAGACCAAATTGTGAATAGGAAATAATCTCCTTAAAGAAAGATTTTTGGGGTTATTTTAATATTTAATTGTTACTTTGTGTTCGTTAAATTTTTTTTGTTTTTTTTGCTATTACCCACCGTGAAAATTGGTCATAGTACATGCACATGCATTGAAACAATTGACAAAGATGAATTGATGGTATCTAATCAAACAAATATACTGCTTACAGAAGAATAAATCATCTATTCTGTTTGTTATGAATGGTCATGTCTCATCATAATGTAAACGATATTTTACATACATCTTAGTAGGATACAAAAAAATCTTCAGTATCGATGTTGGATAACAATTATGGAGTACTGATTATAGGATAATGAATTGGTTTCCATGGTACTGAGTGAACGTTCCTCCGTTAATGTGTATCAAACTATCATTTAGAGCGACTGAGATAGAGAGAGAGAGCTATATTGTGTATACTAAGAGTAGATTAGTGAACTTTTGATGTCATACAAGTTTAAACATTGCCTAATATAATTATCAATTATTATGCTGAGCCGTGTCATATGGTAGATGCTTCTCAGTGTTTATGGTTGATCTTCATATGTTGAAGATTCTGTCACGTGTTTGTAGATGTTTTACAATTGTAATTTTTGTTTGAATCTTGTGCTTCAATATTAGTCCATCATTAACTAACTATATTTTCTGTGTTCAATATATATATATATATATATATATATATATTCTTTTACTAATATTAATGCAATTATTTTGAATTCTGTAGATTTCCTGCATGTAATTTATTCCTTTTTATTATCTTGATTTGGAATTTTACTAACAAGAACCAATTACACTTGAATTATGTCGATTAATCAGATCTACGGTGTTTTATTTTTTAACTGAGAGTATAGGATAAGGTAATGTATTCTCAAGTGAGAATAGATAAAGATTGTAGGTTGTATTCTGTAAATGGTCGTTGCTATTCACTTCAGCCGCAAACTAGGATGCAACAATTGTCCAATCACTCTCTCCTATAATATACCAACTGATACATTATTATACTATATCATCACAATAATATAATAATAGTATAATATCAGTAATAGTGGAAAACATGGGATATAAAAAGTATTATGGTGTATGCTATTTGCGTCTGTCAACATAACTTGTATGTAACACCAATCGTAAGTGGAAAACTTCGTAGCAGAAGGCTAAGAAGATCAAGTTGAACAAAACAGAAAGAGAAATAGAAAGGAATTATTAATTGGAAGAATCATACAGAGTGTAAAGGACAATTAATGAAAGATTTGCAAATCAATTATTTAATGTATGATTCTCTTATTTTATGATGACATTTTGTAATATTGTATTCAACAATAAATTGATCATCCCCAACAAATCTTCATTCATTACAGTATAGTTTGTGTAGAACATGTAAATTAGCGGAATCAAAAGTATAAAGTAGTAATTTTTAAACCTGAGGTATAAAGAAAAACAAGGACAAATTTATTCGTTTTGACGGAATTTATTTTAAACTATATCATTCATAATCTCTTACTATTGATCATGATAATTATCTGATTTTTCAACCATTGGTAGTTTACACATACCATTTCATGTAATAATGTCTTAATTCCAATCCTAATTCCACCCATTAGCACTTTTCCAACTTATTCCTTAGCCGGGGGAATATCACTTATCGAAATAGTTGTCTAGTATTCCTTCTCTCTTTCATTTTCATTGATTATATATTTAAGGTTAATCTCTGATTTAAAAAAACTAATCTCTAAGTGTAAATAATTTTTGATATCTAATAAGCAGAAAAGTGTAACCTTTTAATAATGCAAGACAATTTGGTTTTACAATATTTTTTTTCTACTGATAAGACAATATCTGTCAGTTATGATTACATTATCATACCGAAATTCCTTATCAATGATTTTCTATCCAAATAAATTCATATTTCTTTCATTTGTTTCTTTTTGTTGCTGTTGTTGTCGTTGAAGGCTTCAACTGGTCGTCATGTTAACTTCTCAGGTGAAACAAACATGAATTCTTCCACATATGATGGTAATTCACGACGGTCAGCTTATATTTCACAAGTACGATCTGTAGAGCATAGTAAGTTTATCATATTCCTGAAAATAATGTGGTAACTTGGAATAAAAGAGGAATATTTAAATTTATAATGTGTTGTATACATTTTCAAAGTGTAAAGCGCATGTAACCTATGTCTAAACCGAACTATAATATCTTTTCTTAAAGTTGATTGCTGGTTTATAGTCGAATCTAAGACATGCGTTTTGTCTTATTTGGGGTTCGTCGGCTATATATATATGCATATGTTGTTAGTATTCACACTGAGACTAACGTAACCTCTTTTTCGCTGGAAACGCTGAACGCGTTATACACTGGGCTACTGAATTTGGTGAGAATGTCATGATTGAGTTCTAAATCGGTTGAAACTGGCGTCCTGTATTCCAATACTAGTCAATATCGATTTTTAATAAAAGTTTATTAATAATTGGCAGTGCCAAATTAATCTGCTTACGATATAAATTTACCAATAGAGTTTTATTGCGTACAGTCCTTAACTTCAACGACATGAAACTACAAATGTTTACAAATAGAACTGTGTAGGTTATTTATAATTGTAGGTTATAGTTTAAATCATGAACTGCTCTCAGCTAAATCTTCATTACAAACCGAAAATCATTACGCGGCTGTTTTGTTGTAGTGTGGGATTCCTTAACAGTGCGGATTCACTGTCCTGCAGCTGTGAAAATCCCACAATTTGCACAAATTCTTCTTATACTAATATGTATATTTAAATTACTCAGTGAAATTAGTGCGTCGCACATCTGCAGCATAAAATTCAACAGAGTTGTTAAAATATTTTTTATGTAGGAAACTTAACTAGTGAATACCTATAGAACTTATACTTTGAAAAAGGTTTAAATCAGGTAGTAATAATAATAATGATAGTAATCCATTCATTACAACAAGTTACCTAGTTAGGTAAACAAATACACTACTCATATAAGTTGGGTTTCTTTTTGTACTCACCAATGTATAATTCTTACTGATAGCTAGTAAGGTTTGTTTTGCATACATGTAATTTCTTGAGTTTGTAGAATTAATCAAGCTAAGTTAATGATGATTCTGCAATATGGTATATTGACTGAATTTATAAATACCAATTAATTGATTCCAACTTAGTAATTCACAGTTAACCTTCACTCATCGCGAGACCTAAATCTTCTATGTTTAATTTCTAGTAGACTAAATATTTTGAGTGTTCATTGCTAGGCAGTTCGATACTTTAGATCAAACAGCTGTTCACTGACTTCTATTTTTTCAATGGTTGTATTTACCTAAAAATGAATTTGTGATGTAAATCACCCACTCCCCCCCCCAAAAAAAAACAACTTAGTAATTGACTTGGTTTGATGTTATCCACTTACGTAAGTTCGATTAATTGTCTGTTATGAATACCTCTTTATTTGTTATAGAGCCATTTAGAGAAATTACATCAAATCAATGCACTATTTTACTTTTATTCATTCTTTATATAACCAATTACCACCTATTCACTTTATTTCACTAGGTCAAGAAGTGCGAATCATGTGTTTATGTATATATATCTCTATATATGTGTGTGTAATACACGAATTGTTCTGGCTTAATACATTAATTAGTAACTGAAACACAAACAAATAAACATTACTTTTGTTTTAATTAATGTAATATGAATTATTATTATTATTATTATTATTATTATTATTATTATTATTATTACATCTTTTTATATTAAAAAAACATTTGTTATTAGTAATCACACAGTTAGTTGGGATAGTAATTGTTTTACTAAACTAATCTTGATGTATATATCAGCTGAGGCATTGGACAGTTGTTTCATCATCGAACAAATACAATATATTGTATGACTTATACCGAGTTAAATATGAATAATGAATCAATGAAATCTGAATTTAGTATTACAATAACTAGACTGATTAAACCGCCTACTAACAATTATCAGCATGATTCATAGACCGTATATATACATGAATATATTCATGAAATGGATAGGATAAAGTGAACAATAGTTCGAAATCAGAACCATTTACTCTCTGATCATGAATCCTCTATGATTTTCCTTAAAATACCTGAATACGTATCAGCGGCCGTACAATTGAACAGTTCAGTGACATTATCTATTAAATATGCGACACTGATTAGATTTATTAGACAAGAGTGATAATACAACTCAATAAATGAATTAAAATTGTTGGTTGTAACAGTTGAATTGTATGATATATATAAATTGGATTTAGGTATTAAATTAGTAACTGATTGGTATCAAGTACTATTCAGTGCTATTTATTTATTCATTCAAAATCTGACTATTAATCTGTGTAGATTAAAAATGTGTAAAACTTAGTGCATTCTCACGTCATCTATCGAGTGTCTGTACCTTTTTAACGAGACAAGAACCTGATCTATTTCTGTCTATTTAGAACAACGTGATATTATTTGTTAATTATTACTGTTACTCTGCACACTGGTTTTTAAAAATGCATTTTACAGTTTAATATCCGCAAAGTTTTCAACTTCTTATAAGTATATTGTAGCCAGAATTTTCAGTTATTTTTCGTCCATTCAGTAGGTAGAGTCTTCATGTTAGAGCACAATCTTAATTTCAAACTCTAACTTTCACTGTATTTATGTTTTTCTTCCGGTGTGGATGGTCTTTACTACACGGAGATAGATGATCATAGCAGATAGTTGTAGGAGGATACTTCTAAAGGCTCGAAATGAGATCTTTGATGAAAATCACTCTTCAATATGCAGTATTCATTTGATAAATAGACGGAAAAGTGGACGAAAGTACTGGATACAAGAAACAAATTGAACGTTGAAAATGTTGTGCATAATGTCATTTGATTTCTGATGCAAATAGATTATTTTCTAATCATAAATCAACTTATGATTATCTAATGTATTTCTAATTATTAAATCTGTAAATGATTATTTAAATGTGGATTATGATCCATAACAGTTGGTTTCAAGTCAATGTACAAATTTAGTAACTAAATATTGAGGGCCTAGGAGTTTCCAGTCATTTATTTATTTAACATATTTAATAAAAACCTTATACCAAGTAAGATTGTTTAATTAGCATCACTGACATTCGTTGTCCATATGTAGTGTCAAAATCTCCGATTGATTATTGTTTGGTTATGTTTTCACTCGAGCCAACTCAGAGAAAACAAACTGTTCCGAAGCTACTGTAATTTAAGCGTAAAACTTGGTATTCTATTTTTTCATCTTAGTGCTCAGTTAGGACATGATTGAATTTTTCTAATTGTGTTGTTATCCATTTATCTTTGTACACTAATCTGAATTGAAAATCAGGAATAGATTGAATGATGTTCCAGTTGGCTCATCTCTCCCTTGTCAACCAAAAAATTAGTACAATAGTTTTCCTCTCTCTGCTCAAGGCCGTTAGTCTCATTTCGGACACACTCAGTTCTGGACTCAAGATTAAACCAATTACCCTGTCGTGTCAAGGCCTTAATCTAGATTGAGACAAGTCCTCTCTTGTTTTTACTGGGTAGATAGATCAAGGATATAACACCTGAATACATATCTCTCCAATTTTTCGTTAGATTTTTCTCACTATCTCATTGTTACTACATTAATTCGATGTTTGTTTTAGAGTGGTATGACGACTTGGGCTATAGCGTATGAACGTGTCAGACTCTTCGTTGACTATAATAGACTTACGAGTAGATTGTTTTAATTAAGTATATTAATGAAGTTTGCTTTCTTCGTATTTAAAATCAATAGGTGTTACGTTTTATTTCGTAGTATAAAACAACGACACTGAGATACAGTTAAGTACATACATACAATTGACAAGTTCTAAATATCTTAAAAAGAAAGCACACTTCGTCTGTATTTTACTCTATTGGTTATCACCACATTCAAAATATTACAGTCGTGAATTGTATCACTGTTTGGAGATGGATTATTAATGATGGTATTAGTAGACCTTAGGTATTATGGTTATGCACACAACTACATTAATTATGTATCTACAGAGCGAAGCTTAAAACATACAATTAATATTATCATCTATTCTACTTATATCTATACTCTCTCTCTCTCTCTCTCTCTCTCTCTCTCTCTCTCTATATATATATATATATATATATATATATATATATATATATATATAGCAAATAAACTTTTAGAGTGCGTATTTATCAGGTCAACTAGGCTTGTCTTCAAGAAAATAATCTCTTTGACGTGTTATTCTCTTTAGTTGTTCTCCAGGTCTCGCCTCTTTTTAATTTATTAAATATTTATTCTCAACGCTAACTGAATAACTTTATCAAACTGAATCATGATGATAATTAAGTGATTCAAGTGTATTATTCCTCTTTTTTCTTCGTTGTCTTTGTTATTTTATTATTGTTATTGTTAAGAAGATGATTTCAAAAGTGATATTCACTATTAACATTGTTGTTATAGCTACTAGTTAGTAGTATTTTATTGTTTAATAATGTTTATAATTTCATATATTTTTCTTTCTGATTAATGTTCCTTTTATTGTTGTTATATTGATATTAATTAATTATATCGGGTTTCTAACTGTTTGTGTTATTACTTCCTTACGCCTGTTACTTTTCTTGAAGGAGCATAAGCCGCTCACTAGCATTCTCCATCCAACCCTGTCCCGGGCAATCCTTTCCAGCTCCTCCAAGTTGTTATTCATCCTTTTCATATCTGATTCTATTTCCCGATGTAAAGTGTTCTTTGGCCTTTCTCTTTTCCGTTTCCCTTCAGGATTCTAAGTTGGGGCTTGCCTCGTGATGCCGTTTGATTATTTGCGTAATGTATATCCTATCCATTTTCATTGTCCTTTCCTAATTTCCTTTTCAGCTAGAAGTTGATTTGTTCTCTCCCACAGTAGGCTGTTATGATGGTATCCGGCCAATGGATGTTGATTATCATGCGTAGACAACTATTTATAAAAACTTGTGCATTCTTGATGATGGTTGTAGTAGTCCTTCAAGTTTCAGCTCCATACAGTAAAACTGCCTTGATGTTCTTATTGAAGATTCTAACTTTGATATTGGTTGAAAGTTGTTTTGAGTTCCATATGTTCTTCAATTATAGGAATGCGACCCTTGTTTGTGTTTTACTTTATTTATTTATTCATTCACTTACTGACTCCATTTTAATCGTTTGTCACTTTTTGATTGTTAAATACCATGTGAACATATTTCATGTCTAATGGATTTTTCATTAATCATAAGAATCTTTACTAAAAAAAAATAAAGATTGATTATTTGTTTTCTGTTTTGAAACTGTTTCAGTCAGTCAGTTAATCAGCTACAACGTAAGACTAGGCACATATATGCATCGGTTCAATTTGCCATACCTCATTAGTACAATCAGATAAACATCGAAACTGTTTACCTTTAAATAATATCTATTGTATTTTCAATAAATAATAGTCATATGGGAATTGTTTGTGAATTTGTTTTCAATCATCATTAATTAGTTATATACATGTTTTTATTTACTAAATTGTCGAGAATAACAATCATAAATAAATGTATTAGAATAATGGATTATATTAATTAAGGCATTTCACTTTTAGTCAGTAATAAGTTTCAGATTCGAACTCATCACCGTATCTGATTTATTCTATGAAACTGAATAGTATCATTTGTAATTTATTGTATAAACAGTGTAGTTCAAAATCAAGCATATCTGTAAATCGATATTTAGTTGTTAAATATTGATGAATAATCGGAAAAGATGAACCTTTTGGAACTATTCCACGGTGAATTAATGCATACATATTGTTTATACGTTAAATTTTTCGTTTATGGTATATTTATTTCACCCTAATCGTAAAACGTCATTCAATACCATGCAATACCATTGACGCATTACAGTTAGTTAATTATATACTTATTACTTGAACTGTTGTCCGAGGTTCTACGTTTCGCATGGCCGACTAACTGACTTACTAACCCCTTTATCAACTTTCTACTGAAAATAACTTAGTTATGCATGTGTTGTGATTCCTCATTTATCATGACTTATGGTCTTGTCATAATATGTATCATCATGTGAGTTTTTCAGCTATAGAACAAATGATAATAAGTGAATCGGGTTACTGTTCTTTTTTGTTTTTGAATGGGGACATTTTCGATTTTTACCCAATAATCACTTATCATGTTTCTTCCATCTTCTGATCTGCAATTGTGGAGTTTCGAGTGCCATTAGTTGTACATCGTATTCTGCTATAACCAAGTAAAGGACGTACCATTATTGGCATAAATCGAATCCGCCACTAAGTTACCTAATAAATAATCCCGTAACTCCTTTATGTTGACAAATAGAATTTAATTGTGCAACATCAGTTACATACAAAATGAATAATACATCTATCATGAAAATAATTTTCTCTTGTTTTTTTTCGTGTGTAAAAAGGTCCTACGTCAGAGAATAAAACTGATTATACAACATCAGGAGGAGTTCGTGAACGTCGTCATATTCGTGAACGTAACCCACCTGAACGAGTACTATCCAGTAAATCATTTTCTGCTGTATCAGATATTTTTGAACGTCGTATGTCAGATCAGAATTCATCGTATACTACTAATAATTCTGGACGATCAGAATATTCACCATCTTCTTATACAAATACAAATAAATTCTTTAATACTACTACAAATACTACTAGTGGTACCAATGCTACCAGTTTTCAAAATGAAAATGATATTAAAGGGATTATTCAAAGGGTAATTATTACATTTCATAAACTTTAACGTATTGCATAATCTCTTACGTCATCTGATACTTTCTATTATGTCTTGTGATAGAAGTATATCAGCTTTTTGTATGCTTTTTACTCAAACACTATTAATCAGTCGACTTAAAGCTTATGTCAAATGTTCAATAAAAATGTCAATTTTTAATGGTATTTATCACAGATATCCATTTTTATAACTCATTCTTCATTCTAATAAAAACTGTTAAAATCCAGTGTTTTCTAACCAACCATATTGGTTAACAAATTGTAGAATAATGTCAAATTTATAAAGTATAGCTGGATTTTTTAAATACTAAAAAAAACCGTCTCCAACCCTATTCGACCTGAACTCGGTATAAACAAGAACTATTAATTTGAAAAGATGTATTTTATATTTCAATAAGCCAAATCATAAATTTCTATTTATTTGAACACATAAGTACTAGTACAAAGGGGCACCAGATACATATGCGCCACACAAATCTCATTTGATTTGTGTGAGGACTGTGATGCTGCCTGGGTGCCCAAACCGAAGCAAGTGGTTTACTTAGGGGGCCACACTTCGAGTCTTCGACCTAAAGGTCTGATCCACAATGCAGTTGAGCATCGTGAGGAGATGCAGTCCCATGGTAGCCGGTGACCAACAATTGGTTCATACGCCATTTGTGTCCTCAATTTACTGGAGTCCATGTGCACCATTGCTTTGGAATCAGGGTTTTCCAACTCCCCTAGGTAAACTCTCCGTGTCGACCAATACGGTCAAAGCACCGGATATTCACTTTTCGTCCTCTCAATTTCGTAAACAACACCCCGCCATGAGAAGGCAGTTGGTGGAGGCTATATACGCGTGGCCATGTGAGAGGATTTCGAGAGGCAGAGTTGACTCGCCTCACTCTTGGCAGTACGAGGGTATTTGGGGGCAAATCATAAAATAAAATTAATTATGTATAATCCTTTTAAATCATAAAAGGATTACATATAATTAATTTCATTTTATTTGAAGTCTCAAAAATCAATTTATTAATCAACATTTATCCAACCCCATAATTAGGATATTTTCATTATAACTTCTAGGACTGACAATTTAGTGATACGTTCTATTTCTCAAAGAGCATTTTATACATTTACAAGTGTAATTCATTAACTTATATGACATTCAGTACATTTCTTCTCAATAAAATAACCATTCATAATATCAAAATATTCAGACATATTTAACTGTTTGCCAATTAGGTCAAAATAATGACATTGTATATTACATGGTAAATATATGTGTTATACACTAGATTTCTTAGAAAATCTCTCTTTTACCTATTCATTCAACTTTATTGTTTAAGGTTCCAGGGTCATATATGTTCCTATTTTAAATGTTATATTTTAAAATCGAAATTCATCTCTTTTTTCATTCGATATTGGCTATTCAGTAGTGTTCTAAGGATTGATCTCTTACCAGGAAGAATGCACTTATTAATCTAAAGTACGTAGATAACATTGTGTTGTTCGATGGAAATTAATAAAATGTTGGTTTTAGATCTATTTAAACCAGTTATACAATAATATTTGAGATGAATTTCCGCCATTTTACATTTAAACTCCTACTTCAAGGACTGATCTGTGTCAACGCTTAAACTAATGATACGGATTTATCTTGGAAGTTTCATCAATCCTGATGAGTTGGTTTTTTCGGATTTTTATCAATTTTGGCACTAGCGAAATGTTCGTCTCCCAAACAAGGTTTCAGATACTTCTCTTTAGTTCTGTTTTGTTTAAATGATGACTCTGAACCGTGGTGGGGTACGGTACATTCGTAGTTCGCTAGCGACTGATTATGGGTTTTTTTCAAAACATAACACACGTACAGTGGGACGACCAAGTGAGTAATATGTAAGTTAAACTTAGAGTACTAGATGAAAATCTGAAATCGATTAAGGCCATTATATTTTATTGACTATGATAATTGAGACGTATGTCATGTCATTAGTCAATCATATCACTGACTGTTCGTAGGTACAAACTACTACTACTACTGTTAGATAATGTGGATTGATGATTGGAGGTACTGGGTGATATCGGTGAAAGTCGACCACAGTGATAGAGGTCCATTCACTCGATCATCTTGATTTTTAATATTATTTCGTAATTATCATTAATCCTAATAATTTTTCTACTCTATGGATATTCATTTCATCTGCTGAGATGGTGTGGTCCCTTCTCGTTGATCATACCTAATTAACTAACTGCTGATGATGATACCCAACAATCAACTTATTCATAATAAATAATAACTGACTTCTCAATGCACAGTTATGAATTAGTTCTTTGATCGTCTATAAATCAAGGTTGATCACTATCCTCTTTTTCATACCCATCGCATTTAACCTCATCTATGAATTCTTGATGAAAGTTGTTAACTTTCAAACAGACTAGATTTTTAGTTCAAATCTTGTTCTCTTTAACTTAGGTATCAATTAGTTACCTAACTCCATGATACACGGTATACCTCAAGACTATATTTGATAAATTCGTTGAACGTAGAATTAAATAAATAAAATTCACATTTATATACAAACTCTACATCGCAACTGTACATCAATCAACATGCTATCCTCTTTATTCTTTCCATTTAGTTGAGATCTTTTCTTTTCTTTAATAAACACATGATTATACATATAATGTTAAATAAATCACTCATAGATGAACACTTTAAAGAGTGTGAGGATAAACAAGAGAATTGACTTAAATTAGAGAAGAACAATTAAAAATATATTTTCTTTCATGAGTTTTTGTAAATAAAAAGTACACTTATTATTACTATTACTATTATTATTATTATTATTACTATTATTATTATTATTATCATTATTATTACTATCACTATTATTATTATTATTACTATTATTACTATTACTATTACTATTAATATTAATATTATTATTATTATTATTATTATTATTATTATTATTATTATTATTATTATTATTATTATTATTATTATTAGGATGGAAAATGTGTCAATTACTTTGATGTAAATAGTATTTTGGATTCTGTATTTCACCTCGAATGTTTATCACACAAAATAGGTCATTGAATGTGATTAAAGCCCTTTTTCTTTAAAATTAATCTAAATAATATTGAATAGGTTGGTTTGAATAGTTTTTTTGCCCTGGTTAACGATCTTTTTAAAAAAATGATTTATTTTTTTTACAGGATGAAATTGCTAACCCCCATATCCAACCTTTTTTATTTACTTGGAATCACCAGTAAACTTAATGAGATTCCAGTTGGGGAATTAACGATACAGTAATGATGATGTTAAAGTGGTCGTTTTTTTCTGTCCGACTAATAGTCAGTCATATAAAACATAGGACCTGGTATACATATGTACCAACTCAAGCTGCTACATTTTATCGACCCGTTGAGATGAAAAAATTGAGCTTAAGTATTTTTAGAAGTAGTATCTGAGCGGGTCTCACTTTTCAGATGGTCATATTTAAGAAGATTCTGTGAGTCGATAGGAAAAGAAACTTGATTAGTGGTGGTTTTGGTTTCCGCACTCAATAGGATAACTGCTTTACACTAGTCACACTCATTCAGTCTTCTGGCATGTTGTTCTTGATGTGGTTGCCCCGAGCATATAAAGTCATAGTTGAGAACTAGGATCCATGTGTTATGGTGAGGTGTGCTATATTTAAGGCCTATTCTTTTCGATCGTCTACCTTCTTTTTGAAAGACAGCGTCTCTTCAGATGCTGGTTGTCTGAGGGAAACACCTGTTACAACTCAGTTCAGCCTACAGTAAAACTTCATCCATAAACCTTGGGTTGATGCTTGTAGTCCTACCTCTCTCCAGCCAACCCGTTTATCATGATAGGATTTAAAAGAGTCAGTATTTCAGTCAATATACCCCATTCCAATCTTCAGGATATACAACTCCGACTGTCACATCAAGTTAGGTAGCTGCTAATACGGTCGAACCGCCTACTGTTATTCTATTTAATGGTGAATAATAATTGTCATTTGAATGAAATGGTAGGAGAGTGTAAAATATGTCGTTTAAAAAAACTGTAATCTTTGACTGAGATATAACGCCATAAGAAGACAATATTTTTAACCAGAAATGTTTTTGAAGAGAATAACGAAATCCTAAAATGTATGATCTCAGTGATTACCGATTCTTAAGCCTTACTCGATTTTCAACAATTATTTCATACTACTGAAATTTTGTCTGTTTGGTTCTGCATCAAGTGTCTTGTCGCTTTATTAGCTTGAACGTGGGTCTGCTAGTGATTATTCTATCACTAACAGTCATTTAATCAGAATCAAGGAATGTCATTTCTTACACTTGAGCCACTAACGTGCTATTGAGATATTTGGAAAAAATTGCATGGAATCAGATATAGATGGTTATAGTCAGAATATAATATTTATTAGGGGTTGACAAAGTAATAAGAACTATAACAATCTTAGATAAAAATACTGTCAGAGTTAGTTTTACTGAGGTGTCCTACACCGTGAACAGATACTCCACCTTGTGAGGTGCCTAAAAAGTAGACTTGACTATTAGGGAACATTTTTTTACCTGGGAACATGTTTTTAGTTATAAGGGACAGATGCTTCAGACTATTCACACACATCGTTTTTTGAGTAACATCTAATAAATTATCTCGCCACTTCTAACACTTAACTACTGGCAGTGATAACTGGTTGAATAGAGTGAAGTGTACTATTTTCAAAGTTTCATCATTGTCTAAAAGTTTTACCTGCCATTCAGTACGTTGCTTGTTACTTGAAACTTGACCTTCTTAGAGATTGAATCGTACGTTCAGATAGGTTTCACTGCAATCATACGACAAGCATCTAGTATATTTGATAAATATATAAAGTATATTGTGTAGTCATTCGAATTCAATTGACTGCTTTTTTTTATCGTCAATTCATCATTATAACTCTAAATTTTAATATGTCATTTGTACGGATATTATTCGATTAATATACCATCGTTATTTCCAACAAGTAGATTTCAATTATAAGCTTTTGATTATTCTTAGGGTGATACATCTGTACAAAGCAGAATCTTATTGCTACCTTACATTTCAAAACGACATGACAAATATATTGAGTTATACTGAAACTGAGAAGCTAGATTAAGTAAAATTGTGGATTTGTCTCTGCTCGATTGTGAATAATTCTGAGACATGTTACTCAGCGTGTTCAGTCACTGATTGTTATTATCAGCTTACGAACTACAACTAGGCTAATCTAACTTTAACACAATAAGGCTCAAATTAAAAGTCAAATTATCTCACTCCTCCTGTAACTCTTTGAAGTTATTCTGAATCCAGGTACTATTATTATACATCAAAGTAGATAAAACACCAATTCATACAATGTCATAGATTGTTTATATCACATATATGTGTATGTTTTTTATGGATAAGATTATTCGCAGACTTCTTCATTCACTTAAATGCTGAAATCTATGGTTCAGGGCTGGCACTATATTATTATGATTATTATCCCTAACTGTGTTTATAAAGCACATTTTTTAGATTGTATAAGTTCCCGTGTGGTTGCGGCGTAATGATAGGAAAGTACTCTCTCTCTCTCTCTCCCCTGTCTCATGTCTGATTATCGATTAATTTGCCTATATTGAAAACAGGACCGGTGACTTTCTAGTTACCAATTCGACAGTTAATTTATGATTAATCTGGAACAGTGAGGCGTATGACAACGATTTATAAATCCAATGAAAGCTTAGAAATCGGTGGATATAAAAAATGCAACCATATACACACGAATCATAATCCTGCACTATTCATTGGATTATATAAATATACTTACGTCGTTTTATCTTTTTTCCCGATAAATGCTTAATCTCTTCCTTTATTTTATTCAGCCTACAAGTCGATTCCTTCATCAGTCAACACAATTAGTTAATACAAGTAGTAATTCAAGCTCCACACCTATATATTCATGGAATCCTTCACAAATCACATCAAATAGCAGTAATGTTACCACTGGTATTTTGAATAGTGCTCGTGGTGTTCCACATAATAATCACAACAGTAATAATAACACTACTAATAGTACAGATTACTCTTCATCAACTCCTACTCCCCGTGATCACGTTTCACAGTGGCAAGATGTAAGTTACATGAGCTAGTTTGCTTTTTCTGTTTTTCTCTTCACTGTTGTCTTTTCCAATAGGATGGATTTGTTTTATATATATATATATATATATATATATATATATATATATATATATATATATTGGTTGGGTGATTTATCACTTGTTACATTGTTTGCCAATGTGAATAATCGTGTTAATATACTGTATGTGTTTGTGCTTCGGGCGAGACTATATTTTATGGACCACCCTTCTGGAGCAATATTAAATTGACCCTGAGAAGCTTCAATAACTTACTGTGTTTAAAAGAGAGTTATAAATCGATGTGAGGGATATTAGTACAGGAAGTTAAAGTCAGTGTTATCAACGCAATTGACATCAGCTATCATGCCAAAATGTTATTAAGCCATACGGAAGAGTGAATTTCCCGCCGAAGTTCAGGAGTCTCAATCTTAAATATGATTGGTTCATTCATTAATTATAGTCCTGGCATTAAATCATACAGCTTTTGACAAATGGTAAAATATCATAGAGTTGAACACTTCAGCCTTAAGCTTTCTTTAGTTTATTAGGACAATTGCATAGTACGATTAGTAGTGTTGATCACAATGTCAAATACATGAAATATATACTTAATAAAAGCAGTTACAAACAACATTATTATCGTGACATGCCTTGAAGCTGGGTAATCTTATGATTTTGTGTTTACAGTAGTCGAAAGCTTTTGCACATTGGATTGAATATTTCAACTTCATCATACCTTATTTGGATTTAAATAGCTGTTAGCAGTAAATGTCTCAGATTACGAAGCTGGATGACGCCAGAGAGCATCAGACTCCTCAACTTTATAAGTAGGTCTTGCCGAAGAATTTAACAGAGTTTAATTCCTGCCGGCTGCCTCCAATCATTTAAGATCTCACCGGAATGCAAGGGTTGTTAGGTCATTTATACAAATTGTGACAGTGCAACTTCATCGATAGAATTCCATCAGCATTAAAAGGACCAGAAAAAATATGAAATTGATCATTACTACTTAGTCATATAGAAAGCCAGTTGCAAACCGGATTTCTAAGGGGTAACATCTCAGACTGTGAAGCTGGGCGATGCAGGTTCAAATCCTACAGGCGGCATCAGTTCCTGCAATAATTTCAGGTACGCTTAATTGATTTTGTGTGCCAAATATTACGGAACATAGACTCATGACTTTCCTTCGACAATCAATGTTAGCGTGATATGGAATGGATTAAAGCATGTTCTGTACAGGATTGTGTTGGGGCACGCTGATTACCTATTTCTTAACCAAGCGGCGCTGGCGGGCACTTGGGGGAGACTTTAGAATCTTCTTATGCAAAAAATTATAAGTATACCAATGTTTTTCTTATTGTAATTTTTACTTCCATCCACCTTTGTTATTTGGAATATAATTACGTTTCTATTCAACCGTGTTCTCATTTGGGGACTTGTCGAGTGAAGTAGTGTCCAAAATTACTATGCAATAGTAGTTGGGTCGTAACAAGAGAAAACCATATCAACTAACAACCTTACAGCGGGTATTGAACAGGTTAATTATACCTGACTGATTACTATTATTCCCATGATGATGTATCTATATATTAGATTTGTTACCTAGAGGAATTATATGCTAAATAAAATGTAAAGATGACACATTATGTGTGTTTGTCTTATTTCTTTTTGTGTATATGTAAGAAAATGTTATAGAACAAGGTTTCAATAAGATCTTACGCAAAATAGTTGATAAAATTGTTTTCAATCGAAAAAATAAAGTAAAGACTTCATCTCGTTCACTTCTGTTGGAATTGTCTTACCAATTGCTTATCAATCTGTCAACTGGAAGTAGATAATATTTTCATAAATAATTAATTATAAATATACAGCTATAAACTAGTTATAACTAAGCATTTTCATATATATACATATATATATGAGAAACAGTGATTATAGAAAATACTCTCAATATCTAACTGTCAATTCTAGTTAGAATACTTCATCAACAATTCATCAGTGCATAAAATCTATGAATAGAGGATAAGAAAGATATTTTGAGCAAACATCACATCCCTCTTGTCAACTCATCATTATAGTGTAATAGATGTATATATTAGAATAAGTTATGTGCCTATTATGTCAATTCGCCTGTGGAAACAAATCATTTGTTTTAAGAGTGAAGGAGTACTAAGGACTTCAACTGTCCAGTCTATATTGATTGATCTATGCTCATCTTAAACAGATCGCTTCTATGCTATACCATTTTTGTCACGAGCTCTTATTTTGAATAGTGGCTAAAAGTGGAATGGAAGACCCGTATTTCATCCTATTTGATACTTGTCTTATGAACTCTTATAGTTATATAGACTCAGTTGTTCAGTGAATAACTCGTTTGGCATGTAAAACGTTAGGTAATTAAACTGTAATCTCAGTATGTACATCAACATTAAGATACAAGGATATCCAGTTGATGAGTGCCACATAAGACGAATTGTGTTTCCTAATTCGTTAAAATTGATAATAGAATTCTAACCATTACCCCAATTGCTACAAAATCTGTTACTAGTGACACTAATCGTTTTATGTTCTACTAAGTGAATAGATATTGTGTTTGTAATTACAAGTTAACTACGTGTATATATACTTCATTTATTCCTCTCCGGTTTATTACAATTTCACCTCATTATTTATTTGAAACACTTCATTATGTCTTATGTTATTACTAATTGGTAACTGTTAAGTAATAGTTATTGTATGTGTTACGTAATTTGGTATTGTATGTATGTATGTATTTACATACACCTACATACAATATCCATTGTTCTCATCAATAAACCTACTACTGCTCACGATCACCATATGAATTTATTGGTATTACATAAGATATTCACGTTTAATATGTTAGTGTATTACTTATGATCATAACAATGATATGTAGTTGAATTGTCCTTTTTATTGATTAACAGCTATACGTAATTAATTTCTTCTATTCATGTACATTTACGGGATATATTTTTGTGCAGACTATGAAGATGTTGATAATGAACGGATATTGTTTGATGTTCTTTACTTTATTAGTGTGATATCAATCTATTGATAAATATTCTATTTATAAATGCTAAAATTCTCAACCAACTAATTTCCTATTAGTTATAGTGAGTTGATGTGAAATAAATGAAAGTAAATATTCAGAACCTAGATCATATATACTTAGCTATTTAATTTCTATTTCGATACACACTACTAGTTGTGTTAGTACTTGAGAGGATATCCAGTAGTAGGCTAATCAAGATATGACGATAGTGTATAATATTGTTGTATAATTGTTTCAATGTATTATATGCAATGATATATGTATATTAGTTTGTTTTAGGATTATACAAAATAATGATAATCTATGAGATGAAACGATGAATACATTTGATTACTTCAAATCAATTAACTTATATACGTCAAAATATTTTGTTTTCTTTTTAATTCCATTTATTTATCATTCATCAATCTCCATGATATGTGTACTTTGGAATTGTTCCCTTTTTTTATTTTTATTTTTTTATTTACTTTACATTTAGTTTCTCACTATGATTTTTTAAAATTATTACTTAGTCATACTGTTGATTACAACCATTGGATCATTTTATGAAATGAGCTGAATTAAACTTCTAGATTAATATTGTATGAGTGAAGTGTTCAGTTACTTTACTTTACTTACTTACTTATCTATAGAAAAATTGTCAGTTTCATGATCGATTTTATCTCCGTCGTCACTATAATAGAGGAGATATTCTATAATTTGATTAAACTAAATTTTGACTTTTTTTTCATTGAGATCATGAACCGATTGATGCTAGACCACCACTGAAAGCCTAGAAGCACTGAACGGCCGTTTCGTGCTATTGTGTTGCTGCTCATCAGTGCACATCCACGGTCCCGCCCGTGGGATTCGAACCCAAGACCTTCAGTCTCGCGCGCGAACACTTAACGTACTGGGTCACTTAGCCGGCATCCAATGGTGTTAATGTCTAACCTCAACCAATCCAGGAACTTGCGCGACCATTTTCTATTGTACTGAGGTCTCTACCCGACACGGATTAGCTTCAATGATCACGGCTTCGCACTAGAACTCCGAGAATTCCCTCACGAAGCTAGTCACTAGTGTGCATTTTTATTTATTTCTTATTTGGACACATGAATATTGGTACAAGAGAGCGCCAATATATATGCACCACACAGAACAATGAATATTCGAAGAGGAATACAAAGAAAGAAAAAAAAGAAGCTAAGGAGCACAAAAAAAGAGAGAACAATAACGAAGAGATTGGTGTAAGGTAATGTGCTAGTATTCAGGGAACGCAAAGGTACAATCGGAAGAAATCTTTCAGTTAAGGGAGACACAACCACGTTTTATGAAGAAAGTAAAAGAAGGTTACAGCAGGATCGCCACTGGCTTCTATTCTGAGCCATATCTGATAACGTCTCTAGCCACTGTGTAGCACCATCTCTCGGACCCCAGCCAGGGAGTCGTGAAGGACCAACACAAGCCAGTCCTTCGCAGCTTTCTTTCATGCCACGACACCATGTCATGCACTGACCACCTCTCCGCTTCTTCCAACCAGTCCCAGAGTCGACAAATAATGCACGACGTGGAATTCTCTGGGACGACATTCGGAGAACATGTCCAAGCCACCGAAGTCGGTGTTTCAAGATGGTGACACCAATTGAATTATCATCTCTGTGCCCGAACACACGATGCCGAACCTCTGCATTACTGACATGGTGTTGCCACTGAATGTCAGCAATCCTTCGGAGACAGCGATGATCGAACACAGAGAGTCGTCTAACGTCCTCAACTCGGAGAGGCCAGGTTTCACAAGCATAAAGCAAGAGTGCTCTCACCGACGCGTTGTAGATCCGACCTTTTACAGCCAGACTAACATCACGAAGGCGCCAAAGATGGCCCAGATTGGCATAAGCCGCTCTGGCTTTCACTATACGTGCATTGATCTCATCACTCACACCCCACCAGCACTTATGCAGCTACCCAGATACACGAACTTCTCGACTACTTCTATCTGCTCACCATCCAGGGTGAGTACAGGATTAGAATCCTACCAGTCTTGTAGAAGTACTTTGCACTTGGAAGGTGCAAAGCACATACCATACCTACGGACACTGATTGCCAACTGATTAAGTGCGGATTGCATGCCTTGGGCATTATCGCACAGTAAGACAGTATCGTCCGCATACTCAAGGTCGAGAAGTCTTTCTCCAGGTAACAGGTCAATACCGCCATTACTTACATTCATCAGAGCTGTTTCCAGAATGTCATCGATGGCAAAGTTGAAGAGGAATGGTGAGATTGGGCAACCCTGCCTAACCCCACTGCTCGAATGGAACAATGGAGAGAGGTGGTTGTATGCCCTCACTCTGCCTGAGGTGTTTTTATGTAGGGCCTTTAGGATGTCAATGAACTTCACAGACACACCCTTCTTCAATAGACAATCCCAGTCCTATCCAATGAATCGAAGGCAGCCTTGATGTCAAGAAACACTACGATTGTTGGCCTTTGATAAGTGTGGCAGTGTTCTAACATTTGGCGCAGGGTGAAGATATGATCAATACATCCTCGACCAGAACGAAACCCAGCCTGCTCCTCGCGAGTCAATCTTTCTCGGGTTTTGAACAACCTACGAAGTATGACGGAAGCCAATAGCTTGGACGCAATCGGAAGTAGACTTATTCCCCGATAGTTGTTGCAGGAACGACGTGAACCCTTTTTAAAGATAGGGACAACTATCGACTCATTCCATGACGTTGGTACACTCTCTAGTTCCCAAACCTTCGTAAACAACGTCGTCAATTCCTTAGTCAAAAAGTCACCACCATCTTTAAAAAGAGCCGGAGGTAAATCATCTGGGCCAGGTGATTTGTAACGCTTCAAGAGTTGGAGTTCCTTGCGGACTTCCTCCTCGTTTGGTGGATCAGTCGTCACCGGCCATGGAGGGCAGGACAGTCTGACCGATGTTGCCGGAGCATCAGGCCAGTTGAACTGCCCTTCGAAAAATTCCGCCCATCGTCCAAGACGTCGATGGATGTTAGTGACTGGCATCCCATCATCCTCGCAGATTGTTTCACTCACACCAGACTTCTTGCTGCCAGTGGCTCGGATGAGCTGGAAGAGCTTCCGGTAGTTACCAGATGCAGCTGCTGCTTCCAGCTCATTAGCACGCTTCGACCACCAGGCTTCTCGGTCCTTACGCAAGCTTTGCCCAATTTCTTTACGTAACATCCTTCATTTATGGTCAAACTCACGGTCACCCGGAGTAGACCGACAGGCTTCAGTGAGGTGTAAGGAACCTGGAGAAACCCAGTGCTTAAAAGCGGGACGTTTCGCAAACCCACAACTGACTGTTCCCGCCATTTTCATGGCGTCATGCAATTGCAACCAATGCTCATCTATACTTTTCGGTGGAGTGGTAGCTAGCCTAGAGGCTAGCTTGGTTCGATACTTATTTGCAACAGAAGTTGCAACCAGCTTGCTAATATCAATCCTTTGCTGGCGGTCACTTCGTTGTCCACTGAAAAGTAAGGCAAGATTGGCGCAGACCAAGGCATGGTCAGAGTCCAGATAGGTACTCCAAAAGGAGCGGCAGTCTTTTACACAACCACGCCAGCAGTAGCTGATCGCGATGTGATCAATCTGAGCCCAGGCTTGGGATGCAGAGAGAGGACGCCAGGTGGCACATTGGCGATGACTGTGCCGAAAGTTAGTGCTAGCCAGAAACAGGTTGTGGTCTGTGTACAGTTGCAGTAGACGGTCCTCGTTATCTGACCTGCGACCGACGAGTCCCCATCGGCCACCTAAACGACTCTCTTCTGTGCCTAGACGCCCGACCTGAGCATTCAAGTCTCCGGCTAGTACTACAATATCTGTCGAACGCACTTTCTGGAGAAGAACTGATAACTGGTGGTAAAACTCATCCTTGATTGCATCCGGGCTGCAATCTGTCGGGGCATAGGCGGAGATGACGAAAAGACATCGTTTCTCACGCCGATTTCTTCTCACTTTGATGGAACTTTCTAATCTAACAGCACATAACCGACTGTTAATGGGGATCCAATCGATTAGTGCTGTCTCAGCTCTAGGGCTTAGTGCGACACCAACGCCAGCAAGACCAGACGAAGATGCCACAGGGTCCCCGGATAAGCGCACGTAAAACAAGCTTTTTGAAGTGATAGATGGAGATCGAATTTGTAGTACTTCACCAGAGTCTTGAATACGGGTCTCGGATAGACAGCAGACATCGATATTAAGACTTTCCAAAGACATAGCCAGCCCTATCTGTTGACCAACCTGCATAAGTGTGCGAACGTTGAAGGCAGCCAGTTTGAATGATGCACGTGGTTTCAGAAAAACTGCTTCAGTACTCATATTCGATGGTAACATACAGTTTTCGACCGGACAGTGACTCGAGAACGTTTAGATACAGTCGGATTTCCACAAAAGACGAGCCGCTGTATAAGTATAAAAGAGGGTGAATAATGTGGAAAGTAATAATAATAATAATAATAATAATAATAATAATAATAATAATAATAATAATAATAATAATAATAATAATAGTATTAATAATGACAATAATAGTAATGATAATTATTTGAATCGATTGATTGTTTTTGTTTTTCGGAGCGATAAAAGTACTTGCCATAGACATAGAGTTCATCGTTTGTGTGTGGGCTGTGATACTGCCCGGGTGCCCAAACCGAAGCAGGTGGTTATCTTAAGGGGCCACACCCCGAGCCTTTGACCCAAAGGTCTGACCCACAAGGCAGTGGCGCATCGTAAGGAGATGCAGTCCCATGGAAGCTGGTGACCAACGATTGGTTCATACGCCATTTGTCCCCGCAGGATACTGGAGCCCATGTGCACCATTTGTTTGGAATCCGGTTAAAGCGCCGGACATTCACTTTTCGTCCTCTCATTTTCGTAAACAACACCGGTGCCACGAGAAGGCAATGAGTAGGACTCCCCTGGCAGAGGCTGTATACGCGCAGCCGTGTGAGAGTATTTCGAGAGGGAGAGCGGACTCACCACACTCTCGGCCGTACCAGGGCATTCGGGGGCCATGGTAATTATGATTATAGGTGTTTCGGAGATTAATAAGTTCATGATCTTCATTAAAAAAACTTAATCTTCACAACCACTATACTGAAATTTTGACTGTTAAAATCAATCAATATAATGCTAATTGATGGATGAAAGTAACGATAGAAAGTGTAACTGAGTTGATGGCTACTTATGAGACCGTATAATTGACTATTACTCCTGAATGGTTAGAAATTAAAAACAAGACCGCTAGTTAAATGAATTAATTCTTTGTGTAATAAAATAACATACTTATATACAAAATAAACATGTTAAAATGCTATAGGTGTTTGAAGGAAGTTAATTTGTAGATCACTCATTCTTCAATTGATCAAGATCTCATTGTCAGGCCTAATGCTTGAACATCGTATGAATTCTGTACCCCTTTCATTCTGACAATATCTACTCATCACTGTACTGATGTAAAATGACTCAGTAATCAAATAGTATTCTATTATTCGTTATAATTTACTCTCCTAGTGGCATGAATTAACATGCCGATTTTAGGACAGAATTTAATTTTTTATGTGTTTGGCACGTTGTTTTACAGTAAAATACAATAATACGACTGGTAATCGAGATTAATATTACCACTAGACTGGATACTCAATTGACATGCTATACATAAAATGAACCACATCATACCAGGTACATAATTCACAAACAAATATTGACGATAGTCAAGACAATACTTGATTCAACGTAATTACAAGGTCTACACAACAAGTTCAGGGTAAAAATCCATAATGCAGAAGTAACCAGTCCATGCTTAATGTTTAATTACATCTTATTTTCACCATTACACATCAAATAGTGGCTACTCCTCCTCTGAATGACCACATCAATTTAGATCTGTCCATTTACAGTCCTAGTTGAAAGTAGGTTTTCTTTAAATACTTCTAAAATGCCACCTTTTGATGCCTAGTTATAATAAAGGATTCAGCTTACCTGTATTGACTTGTATCTCGGCTGTAAAATCGCTTATTCATCTCTGAAGTCGAATATCTTAGTACTAATCATTTCAGTTGACTAAATCATTCCTCAATCTTAATGCATTGTGTGTAACATGGTCATAAGTGCTTTTTGATGATTAGTTTAATGTTATATATATATATATATATATATATATGCTTGACGTCCATACTTTTATATGACTTAACTGTTTGTTCCTTTTGTTCTGTCTTGTGTTCACGTGTTTATTCCACTATTCACATCCTCAATCCTCTTGTTGGCATCATCATCATCATCATCCTCTTTATTCAAATAATATCTAGTCCAAAGATTATAAACGATTATATGAACGAGAGAAAGAGGAAAGAGAACGACTTCAACGTGAATTAGATAGATGTAATCGTCAAATAAGTCAATTACGTCAGGAACAACAATTGAGAACTTCAAATGATCATAGTTATTCAAATACATCAGATACAATGAATATTCACAATTATACTAGTAGTAATAATTGTAATAATTCACAAATACCGGACACTGTAAGTATTACTTGTCGTTTTGTTTTTTGTTTTTCTTTTATAAAAAGGAAATCATTCACTGTGTTTCATGAAATCATGTTTTACATTTTAGATGAATTATTTATAATGAGTTATGTTATAACTATCATTTTCAATCTTGATTATTTATTGGATTGAGTTTATTTTAATGTTAAAAACTAGGAGGAAGCGGATTCCATTACTTATTCATTCAAATCAATGAAGGTTCTCAGTAAAATGTTTATTTAATTTTCAATGATGTGTAAATTATCAACACTGAATAAAGAAAAACAAATAAGAGTATAATTTATTCAAATTGTAAACAGTGTACTTTTTTTTCTCTTGTTGTTATTGAAAGTAACTAGGTAACTAGTACAAAAACAACAACAAGGAGATTATTATTATTCGAAAGAAGAGAAAAAAACACATTCTACTCATAATTTAGTTCTGTTCAATGTATTTGACAATTATATTTTAAAAGTTATTTTTTAGACAGTGTCTAGTATTATTGTCACCTCCTAGTTTGAAAAGCAATTTAATGTTTACATGAAATAATTCACTTTTTGTTGTGTTAAAATTAGGTAGACTGTGAAATAGTGGGAAGTTTTGTTCTGTGAGCTTGACGGTTTGATCATGGAGCTTTCATTGTTCTTCTGAACGACATGATCAGCACACAATCTTCTGGTAGTTTTATCTGAGAACAAAACCCCACCATAATTTGGTAGATTGTTTATGTGTGTGTGATTCATTTTTGAAGATCTATTGATTATACATGCTAGTGAAAAGTATATTTGGAATATCTAACAGGATAGAAAACAAGTGACTATTTGTATACACATTTTAAAGACTCTCATATTATATTCAAGGTGTTTATCTGTGCCTCCAAATGCCCTGGTACAGCCAAGAGTGGGAAGAGTCAACTCTCCCTCTCGAAATGCTCTCACATGGCCACGCGTATATAGCCTCTGCCAGGGAAGTTCTACTCACTGCCTTCTCGTGGCACCGGTGTTGTTTACGAAAATGAGAGGACGAAAAGTGAATGTCCGGCGCTTTAACCGGATTCCAAACAAATGGTGCACATGGGCTCCAGTATCCTGCGGGGACAAATGGCGTATGAACCAATCGTTGGTCACCGGCTTCCATGAGACTGCATCTCCTTACGATGCTCCACTGCCTTGTGGGTCAGACCTTTGGGTCAAAGGCTCGGGGTGTGGCCCCTTAAGATAACCACCTGCTTCGGTTTGGGCACCCGGGCAATATCACAACCCTCACACATATCAAATGAGATTTGTGTGGCGCATATGTATTTGGTGCCTCCTTGTACCAATATCTATGTGTTTAAATAAATAAATAATGAAATATATAGTGTCTGTATACTCGTAGCCATCTTATAGCATTTCGAGAGGGAGAGCTGACTCCCCCCACCCTCGACCGTAACAGGGTATTTTTCATTTTTTCAAACCACTTGGGTTATACTCCGCTACTATGGGAACCAAAAAGGAATGTGTCAGATTGCCTAATAAGACATAAAAATCATTGTATTGTATGATGTTATATCATCTTGCACTATTGAAAAGTATGATTTCTCTACGTCCAATTATTGTATGTCCGTACGAATTAATTAACTCAAATATGTTTAGTAAATAATTACTTATTTGATTCATTCAGCAGGTATTTATGCATCACCCAAACTTTTATTTTGAGGGCTAGTGATACTAATCTGTTGCCCAGACTGAAGATCTAGATGGGGTGGGGCCCAAATATATAAAGGGAAATAATTTAATTTTTAGCATTTCTCGCTCTCTATATCCAGTTGAAGGTAATAATTAGTGGTTCTCTCTCTGTTTGAGTAATAACATAAACTGCTAGAAGTAGTTGTAGATAGTGATTTTTCTTCTGATATGAGACAGTCTATGGGGAGTATGTGAAATTTAAGTAATCTAGCTCATAAATATATACGATGAAATCTATGTGAAAACATGAATTCATAGTTATTTTTTCTTATGCTTATTGTATAATGTCCGTTTGATAACTGTTTCACTATTGATATCATCTGATCTCTGTCAATGATAATTTCTCCTTAGAAGTTCAATTATTATCAGTATCATAGATGTTGTACTGTTAAAAAGTTTCATACAGGGATAAAACAAATATCTAGTAATCTCTCATCAAGACGAATACCATCTACAATGTGAAACAATCTTGACAAAATATTCAATGGTGCTCTTAAAATGTTAATTATATTTAGAAAAACTATTAATTCTCTAGATTTAAGTACACTTAATTGGATATATATAAACTTTTGCTCAAATCAATCATTTTCTTATTATCTAATAGCCCATGTAATGTTTAATGGGGTTGTTTTGTATTCATGATTATATAAAACAGATTCTATAAATTCACATTATACATAAGTTTATTAAAACGATGGCTATATATGTATATATTACTATCATGTGAACTGTATATACTAGATGACTGGGACATAAGATTTTTTGTTTGTCTTTATTTATTACTATCATCATCTTATGAGAATCATCTTTGTAAAATCATTTGATATCGTATTTTTATGAAAATTATTTCTTTTCCATCCACACGACCTTTAAATGTCGAAACTAAGTTAGTTAGTTAGTTAGTTAGTTAGTTAGTTAGTTAGTTAGTTAGTTAGTTAGTTAGTTAGTTAGTTAGTTAGTTAGTTAGTTAGTTAGTTAGTTAGTTAGTTAGTTAGTTAGTTAGTTAGTTAGTTAGTTAGTTAGTTAGTTAGTTAGTTAGTTAGTTAGTTAGTTAGTTAGTTAGTTAGTTAGTTAGTTAGTTAGTTAGTTAGTTAGTTAGTTAGTTAGTTAGTTAGTTAGTTAGTTAGTTAGTTAGTTAGTTAGTTAGTTAGTTAGTTAGTTAGTTAGTTAGTTAGTTAGTTAGTTAGTTAGTTAGTTAGTTAGTTAGTTAGTTAGTTAGTTAGTTAGTTAGTTAGTTAGTTAGTTAGTTAGTTAGTTAGTTAGTTAGTTAGTTAGTTAGTTAGTTAGTTAGTTAGTTAGTTAGTTAGTTAGTTAGTTAGTTAGTTAGTTAGTTAGTTAGTTAGTTAGTTAGTTAGTTAGTTAGTTAGTTAGTTAGTTAGTTAGTTAGTTAGTTAGTTAGTTAGTTAGTTAGTTAGTTAGTTAGTTAGTTAGTTAGTTAGTTAGTTAGTTAGTTAGTTAGTTAGTTAGTTAGTTAGTTAGTTAGTTAGTTAGTTAGTTAGTTAGTTAGTTAGTTAGTTAGTTAGTTAGTTAGTTAGTTAGTTAGTTAGTTAGTTAGTTAGTTAGTTAGTTAGTTAGTTAGTTAGTTAGTTAGTTAGTTAGTTAGTTAGTTAGTTAGTTAGTTAGTTAGTTAGTTAGTTAGTTAGTTAGTTAGTTAGTTAGTTAGTTAGTTAGTTAGTTAGTTAGTTAGTTAGTTAGTTAGTTAGTTAGTTAGTTAGTTAGTTAGTTAGTTAGTTAGTTAGTTAGTTAGTTAGTTAGTTAGTTAGTTAGTTAGTTAGTTAGTTAGTTAGTTAGTTAGTTAGTTAGTTAGTTAGTTGATGGTTGGTTTTTCCCTTCATTAGTTTATTAAAACTCCGGCAGTGCTATATACACAAACCAACTCGGGATGGAGCTTAGAGCAATCATTGCTGACATGATGTAACATTATATCTTTCGATTATTCAATAGTAATTTCACAATCTTCATCGTAAAATTATCCATTTGTCGATACAGTGTGATCTTCAGCCAATGTCGCATTATCCACTACTTACTGTCTTCCATTTCGAACTTGTTGGACTCATCACAGTCTTTAACGAGAATTTCTGTGTGAACCGACACACCGACTAGTTTAATTATATTTACTGTTTAGCAAGCTATTTGTGATATTTGGTTTTAGTGTTTCCTCGACTGATTGACAATAACCATCAAATAGATCTCATGTAATCTATAGTCTACTAAAATAAAACCATTTTTTAAAGAAATAAATCAATTGTAAAATTTTCTTATTTTATGTATTGCAGGACATTGAATAGTTTTCTATGATTTCCTGAAGTTTAATTCAATTAGCATCTGACGTTATTGAAAACCGGTGATAAACAATTATTAACCTTCGTATTTTGATTATTGTGTCTTCTGTACACTTGTCTTCTGTAGTTGATGTATTTAAATTTGACTAGGCTTATCCATCTTTTTTCCAATGTCCGATATCCTCCAGTATTTTCAGACATTTTTTCGTCCATTTAGTAGATGATTGTTCCATATCAGAACGTGCTATCTACTAGAGATTTCATTTCAAGGCTCTTAAGTTATATACATTTGTCCTCTATGAACAGATCAGAGTGAAATGCATTTGTATTAATATCGTATCCGGAGCCATGTTGCCAAACGCCGTCCAACTACTAATCACATTCCTTACACAATACATACAACTACGTGATCTATTCACAGTTATATTCGCAAGTTTAGTACTCGGGATTTCTTCTAGCAATAAGAAGAAAAACACATTGACCTACTTATAAAAAATGGATTTTCCACTGAATTACTATAAATTATTTCTTCTTTAGTAGTTCATTGCAATAATAATTCTGGGACATTATTAGACAAGAATACTTTTTTTTTCTTTTGAATGAAAAACATTTTATTGAAAACACATTCAATATTCATTTTGTTTAGTTACACAAATCTGATCTCGAATGCTTCAGTTAGATCAGCCAAATGATATCAGTACGTGTTACACCTAAATAAAATAACAAGGTTATTAATGAATGTATAGATTACATAGATGACGATTATATCATCTTTGTATGACAATAAGAACCGATTATTCGTGTCAAGTTTCAATGTAATACATTCTAAGCCGATTATTATTATCGTTTTATAAAAGAAATCAATACTTCTTCATGTTCAACATACCATATTGTTACCTGTTAGTGTCATAACTGTCATATGATTATCGATTAGGTGTTTAGTTGATTATATGTTTCTCTCTCTCTCTCTTTCTATACGTATATGGGT